TTTCAAGGATAAATATGCACAACTTTCCTGGAAAATACATGTTTTATTCGGGGAAATTTGGCAACGCCTGGAGGCTCATACGGCGTTCTTCCTTAGCACGGCAGTATTCCGTTGATCCGAATTTCTTCCTATGCACGCGTTTATTGTCTTGTAATACTTAAAGCCGTTCCGTAGGGTGAGACTCAGAGGCGCCTGATGACATCGCAACGTTTCAAAGTTGTAGTATGAGAATTTATTTTTGTACTCATGTTGGTGTGTGTTTTATATTGAAAAAATTAAGAAAGTTTCTTCAGATGACAAAGAAACTCACGAAATTTTAAAGAAAGCGAGCACACTTGAATTTGTGTGTATATACATAATTGTCAAACGAAACTTTGGAATTATAGCATCCCTGACTCTAACCCTTTTATCTAGCGTTGTGCGCCTTTCCGTTTTGAATCAAATCGCAAGCGCTTGTAGCTCACGACGTACAATTTACCACCAAAAAAAAAAAAATAAATAAAATAAAATAAAAATTAAAAAGTAGCAAAATTGACCAAAGTAGAAATACGATGTGGTATTTTCACAAGAAAAATACGTACAAGTAACACTTCACTCCCCCAGTTTTCTTTTAACTTCTTTATTCTAAAATATTTAAGTATACACTGAGAAAACATCTTAAATTTTCCACCAAGAAATATTTTCTCTTGAATCAAGAATGGTGCTGCGAAATTTAAACTATTGTTTTGCGTGACGCAATAATTATTTTACTTGTCAGTTGAACAATTCAGCTTGAATCAAGATGAAAAACTCCCGGCGGCAATTTCGAGAATCATCATGTCAGAGCCGAGCCCTCTTTTCAGTGTGCGTGATTCTTGAACTCTAATTATTTACGTCTTTTCTCGAGTTTTTTACGCGCAACTTTCAAACTCGTAAATCACCAGTTTTGAAATTTTGACGTCATAAATTAAAGCCGGTCCACGAGGGAGTGAGAAATTGTGAAATGATCGTTTTAGCCAGTTTATGATTAACATGCATAGTATGAAATGGACGCATTTCTGCCAAACGGAACTATGTGCATTAAGACGTGAGCCCTGAGACTCATAAGAATATGTGCATAACAGGGCTCACGTCGTAATGCACATAGTTCTGTTTGATAGAAATACGTCCAAATGTTTTTCGTATGATGTTTGTGTGGGGAGGAGAGAGAGGGGATGAAACTAATCACGCCACGCTGAATATTGTCTCGTGGTAGGTAAAAGTTGATGTAGCTGTTTTTTGCCTCTACAGACGAGACTCAGTAGATTCTCAACAAAATCAGAGTTGACATTTTAATGTGTCCTGAGAGTCTCGTAGCAAGCGCCCCCTCCCCCTCCCCTCCCCCTCCTTCACCTCCGCCCTTTCGCAACTCCACTAAATACCTGGAGGGGTAAAAAGTTCCCGCCCAACATAACGACACGCTACTACGCTCATACGTCACACGGAGGGAAGCAATTGGACGTATTTCTATCGAACGGAACAATGTGCATTAAGACATGAGCCCTGAGACCCATAAGAATACATGCATAACAGGGCTCACGTCATAATGCACATAGTTCCGTTTGATAGAAATACGTCCAATTGGTTTTACGGAAAATGTGATGTGCAGTTAGAACATACTTTGTGTACGGGCTGAGTTATGAGATGGGGCTGTGTATCTGCATTTCTACATGGACGCATTTAAATCAAAAGGAACCATATGCATTGTGACATGAACCCTGTCGTGCATGTATTCTAACGGATATCAGAGTTCATGTCGGAATGAATATGGTTCCTTTTGATTTAAATACTTCCACATATGAACTGTGTCATGCAAGAACTCGTAATTTTATCATAACAAAGATTGACGTTAAGATTTAGAACCGCAGGCATAGAGTTGTTTTCCGTGACACGATTTACGATTTTTCCACCCGGGGCTAACAACTTCGCCACCCCTAGACGTTGAAAGGTTTTTCCTCCTTTTGCTTTTCTGTCATGTGCGTGTAATTGTATTGAGAAGAAAAAAAAAGCCCTTCTCAAAATCTTCTGCCTTGTTTTCGTACACCACCGCCGCACATTGAAAAAAAAGATTGGTAGAATTTACCATTCCCTCACGCTGCATTTCACACAGCGTCAATTCAGAGTGTCAATTCCGCCAGACAAAAGGTAAACGTTACTATTTACTGGTACGCAGGTTTACCTTTTTTCTAGCAGAATTGACTTATCGCAAGTGCGTTCGAATCTCCACTCCACGGTGTCCTGCCGCTCTGGCCGGGGAGAACAGTGGATTCTCATATCTGCTGTTCTTACAAATAACATGGTTTTCAGTTCAAATTCAATTGCGTTGAAAGTCTGGAACTTTGCGCAGGCATTACCTACTGGAGACTCCAGAATCCGGTAAAAGCGTTTTTTCCTAAAAATGGCAGAAGTCAGCGACCGCTATTGTTACACATAAGTTCTTAAATGCTGATTTTAAACAATCAAGTAGATTAATTTCATGTAAGAGGTACAACATAGGCAACTTGCGTGCAAAGCGGATTTGAAACTCATTCCGATTTTTTATTACAATACGTTTTAATAAGAAGTGCCCCTTCAGCTAGTAAATAATTAACGTACATAACACTCCAATGCAGTGACAATAATTGGACTTGATTTTGTAATTAGCACTACAACTTCTGACTCACCCGTGAAAACACTTGTGCGCATGGGAAAGCTAATGGTACATAGGTCGATTCTCAACTGAACCAGACATTGTGATTTCGTGATTCCTACTTGGAAAATGTAGTCCAATTTGACCATAGCTCTGATCCCTAGCTGTGTTACCTAGGTAGATACTCATTTGTACACCCACAAATATTCACACCCGAAATATTTCGAAAATATGCTGCCATGCAGTGTCGGCGTCACATCGGTCACAGGTGTTTCTGTTCGTCAAAACAAAACGGCCGCTGTGAGCAGTCAAACTTGCTGAAAAAACTTTCTATTCCGTTGAGTGAAGTGCTCACATCAAAATGTTTTCGTAGAATTGCTCATATGCGTTTCATGCCGACCAGCGACCAAATTGTGTTAAGCGCAATGTGTGAAGTATTCCTGCAGTCTTGTAGGCGCTAATATGCTAATAGTTCCATCGTCCTCTGAAGAATGTGAAAGCGGCACTCACACTGCGGTGGAACAACGTGGCAATTTCCAGGGAAACGATCCCTCAAGAAAACAAGCTCTTAATACCTAACTACATAGCAGTGTTTCGAGGCGGTTCATCCGCGGCAGACATGCAATCTTAGCGGTGTTGCTTTCTTCCATCAAAATTTCACTAACATTACGGTGGTTCGCGGAAACTCAGAGCCTCCTGAGAACATCGACAACGCTGGGATTGAGGCTCTAACGATTTCCACCCATTCAATCGCCAACTTGATCCCTGATATCTTTTAGGTAGTGTTTATGGCTCGAGTATGCGATCGTCGCAGCCTTTTTCCATTTCAGGATGTCTGCAGTCATTTTTCGGCTGTTGAGCCGTAGACGATGCCTCATTCACAAGGAATAATACACCGTTTTCGCGTCAAATGAAGAACATAAAGAAAAAATGAAGCATTGTATTGATGAGAGGGGATGGTCCCAATGAAAAAAGGAGATCAGTAATAGATAGACTAATCACAATCCACGTGAGACACTTTAGTTACTCCATCATTTTCCCTCTTGATACGCAACAACCACCCGTTCCCACCAATCAGATCGCTTCATTTTCCATTTGTCCTCTGCGTCTGTCAATTTCAATAATTAACTCGCTGGAGGGTCTACCTAATTCTGACCAATTCGTGACATCTTGGACTGCACGGAGCTCTTAGATTGGAAGGGGGGGGGGAAACATGGTTGACGTTTGTGCTCGGATGTTGCAGAATTGACGTCTGGACGTATTTCTGCCAACGGAACTATGTGCATTAAGACATGAGCCCTGAGCATGCATCATAAGAATAATGCATAACAGGGCTCACGTCTAATACACGCAGTTCCGTGTGTCAGAAATAACTCCACGTAGTCCAGTCAATCGATAACATTTTTCTGGGAAAATCAATATATAGCGCAAAGCGCATATATTCATCGGCAGGAAGTGCATATTAGCGCCTACAAGACTGCAAGAATACTTCACGCATTGCGTCAAACCCTGTTGTCGCTGGTCGGCGCGGAGCGCATATTAGCGCCTACAAGACTGCAGGAATACTTCACACATTGCTCTTAACACAATTTGGTCGCTGGTCGGCATGAAACGCATAAGAGCAATTCTGCGAAAACATTTTGATGTGAACACTTCACTCAACGGAATGAAAAGTTTTTTTCTTAGCAAGTTTGACTGCCCCTAGCGGCCGTTTTGTTTTGACGAACAGAAACACCTGTGACCGATGTGACGCCGACACTGCATGGCAGCATATTTTCGAAATATTTCGGGTGTGAAACGCAAAAAAGCCAGAATGTATGGTTTCTCATTCCAAACTCGGGTCCAACTAGTATATTAAAAAATAAAACGGGGGAGAAGCCTACAACGTTGGAAACCGAGATTCGTATAGTTTTCTCCACCATAATGCATTTCTTTATCTCACTTCAGTCCTACGGGCTGGTTACTGAAATTGATGGACAAAAGGCCGAAGAGAAAATGGAGCAATCCTATTGGTAGAAACGGATAGTAGTGGTCGTTACATACGAGGGAGAATTGATAGACTAAATAGGGTCTTTCGCAGGTTGCCGTTAGTGATTCTATGTCTTATCTACTTTGGCCTTTGCAACCACCCGCTTCCACCAATGTAGGATCAGATTTTCTCTTTGTCTTTTTTGTCTATCGCTTTGTCTATCAACTTCATTAATTAGTCATCTGAGTGTTTAGTCTAATGTTTTGTCTATCAGTTTCAATTATCAGCCTGCTGAGTGTTTAGTCTATCGCTCTATCAGTTTCAATAAAGAGCTCGCTGAGTGTTTTGAAGGTTCTAAGTATGTGTTTTTTTTTCCGTTGGCAGGTTTCTTGTCCTGGGACGTAGAATCATGCCACGTAGATTTAGAAAAGGAACTGAGCATCCTCACATCAGAGGCGCCGGAAGGCGAAGAGGCCAAAAATGGTAAGTGTACCAGTTACTGAAAGTTTTAAGAAAGGTTATCATTTCATCGTCACGTTTAGTACGTAAAACTCCGCGGGAAAACGGAATTCAGTCCGAAAATGTACTCAAGATTGAATGATTGATCGGAAGGTATGAATTCGATCGACATGAAAAGATCGAAAAACAAAAACGTGACCTGATTGACAATATTCGATCGTTCCACGGATTTTTCAATCGAGTTACGGGTTTGTCGATCGAATCGCGTCGATCGGCTCGAGCCTCCCCCCCCCTCTCGCCCCATCCATGTCTATCGAATCCATTTACATACAAGACATGAAGCGCCCAAAAATGTCGAACCAAACTGGAGGCACCTATTGACGTCATGTTTTTTGCAGTGGTGTGGCGCGTGGCGTGCTTTGTGATATATCGATGGATCTGTCATTTGAACCCATCGAAAAAGATCGATAAACTAGGTTTTCGCAACGAACACCTTAATAATCGATTCTTTACCGTAGCTTCAAATGGGGAAATATCGATAATCGATCATTCACGCCACGCCACTGGCGTTTTTGACAGTTTCTCCGAGTTTTCTCCGTAATCAAAAGAGTAATGCATTTTCTTTTGTTCTAAATCATCACCCCTAAAAATGAAAAAGTAGTAGTAGGAGGAGGATCTTTCTGGTTGACATCTAAGAAGAAATAGGACGAAAAAATATGTATTGGAGTAGAATTCAGGTTGAAAAACGAGACGCATTGATGAATTACGCCTGGATGCAACTATACGTTCTCAGTGGATGTCCGTGTTGCATAAGTAATACTACGGAGGCGCTCTGACTACTTTTGCAAAATGACAATCTGAACGACGCACAGTGGATCAAGTCAATAGGAGAGGTCGGACATAATTTGGAAACTTTAAACGCTTAAAACTCCGTTTACACAGAACTTTGAAGTTTTAAGAGTGATTCCATCGGTTTTCTCGTGAAACTTTCTTCCAGAACCACCCCTCAAAGTTTGAAATGTGACGACATAAACATCAAAATTTGCAGTTTTAGGAAAAAATTTCATGTCCGACCTCTCCAATTGACTCGATCCACTGTGCGACGCGACACCCTTGTTACGCTGATAAAAGTAACCAAAGCGCCTTCAATTACTGCTCCAGCAACATTGACACCTACTCAATACGAATAGTCGGATGAAGGCGGTGCAATGCGATCGTCGACCCGAAGTGACGACGCAGGTTTCTTGCCAATTTTATTTCTCTTTACGAATGAATCATTTAATGACACTGTTATAATTAATTTGACGGAGTCTGTGTAAACTTAGCGCATTCTGTTGTAAGAATCTGACGTTAATGAAGCAGTCGTGTATTAGTCGTTTTTACCAAGAACTGTGCTGTCGTGCTAAGGAAAAACGCCGTATGGTGAGCTTTCGAACCTAGTCTAATTTCCTCCGACAAAATGCGAATTCGATAGAAAACTCGAGGGTATTTTTCTCTCAATTTTTCACAGATATTCATTCGCATTTCAATCTCCAGTATCTGAAAATTGAAGCGCTGCGTGCAGAAAGGGCATTTCTTGGATGAGTCAATTATCATTTAAGTAAATGTATGTAAGTAATTTCCTGTAATTTTTACTGAATATTCTTTGTGATTTTACAGTGCTGAAAACGTAACATGCCAAAAAATTCATCTAATAGTTTCCTCTCCAAAATAAAACTAGTACTGGATATTCTGAAACACCGCAACGAAGGAATATCGACGGTGAAACTACCAAACCACGTATCTCGGTTTGCGACGTCGCAGACTTCCTGTCATACTTTATTTTTTAAATGAAAAACTACTTAACATCTAGTCTTGAAAATTTCTGTGATTTTTCCTCTTTGTGCGGAGAAAATTCCGTGAAAATTTCCAGGAATGATATTGATTTGGTCTACTTCAAAAAAATAAAATGTGAGCGTAGATTTTTAAACACCGCAAACGAGATACGTGGTTTGGTAGTTTCACCGTCGATATGCCCTATCTGCTCCCAACGCCTCAATTTTATGGGGGCATATACTTACTCATAACTCTGCTGAAAAATCAACATTTAATCGGAGAAAATCTGGCAACTCTCGAATGTTGACTTGGTGTTTTCCCTTAAGCCGGAATCATACGCTGAATTTGGCAGCTGAAAATGGAAGTCAACAGTAATCGCTCAACAGTTGAAATTTCGCAAATTCTAGTTGTTTTCATCCAGATGTGCATCAAATCCATTCGAATAGTTCAGACAAATCCGACATTATTTGATGGCTGCTGAGAATCGTTGCTGAATTTTGCGCGACGCGCGCAAAATTCAGGCATCGGGCCGAAGACTTCAAGCCACATTCAGCTCCAACATTCAGCGTGTGATTGCGGCAATAGGAGAGGATTGAAATGGACACATTTGAAGTTGGTGTGGAATGGTGGTGTTTCAGGAGAAAGACTGATACAATACGCGAGCGAAAATTTAGTGACGGAGGTGCTGATCCATCCACAACTGAACACGATGGTGCAGTGCATACGCAACTTACTCTCGAGCTTCACCAGGCATCGGCACATCATCCACGCCGGCTACACATTCGCCAACTCCGGTTCTTGGAGTCTCCAGGTTCGCAAAATACCTACCAATAACATACCCAGCCGGCTCATTATTGAAATTCATAGACAAAGCCACAGACGAAGAAGATATAGGGAGTATGGAGCCATCCTATTGGTTGAGATCGGTGGTTCTTATATGTAGACGAAGGAAGAAAATGATGGACGAACTAGAGGGTTTCTCGTGGGTTGTCGTTAGTTAGTCTATTACCTACGTCCTTTGTCCATTGCAACCACCCACTTCCACTAATAGGATTCCTCCGTATCCCTGATGTCTTCTTTGTCTATATTTTTGTCAGTAAATTCCAAAAATCGACCGCAGGGCAGGGTTTCTAAAAAGAGAACCAAGTGACATAAATACTGCCAGATTTGACCCGACACTTTATCTTTTTACAAATGAATAGTTAGAGCGAGTTTGACAGAGAATAACCAAAAGGGCTGTAATCACTTGAGCTCCATAACCACGTACTTGCCTCCTTTTTCCCAACTGATCTACGCTTAGACACTGTGGTCTTGAAGCAAAAAAAAAAAAAGGCGACACATGAGTACGCAAAAACGGTTTGCAGGGAGTGAGTTTGAAGAAGTTGTGTGGACTTAAAATCGCGAAAAATCAAAATCTTGGTTGATCCTTGTTTTCAGATATTGCAAATTTAAAATTTTCACAACAGATACGTGTTCTCTACTGATTTTGATCAGCTTTTTTATTTATTTGTCCATTGAATCGGTGTTGATCGAGGTATAATGCACACTCCGCGACTTTAAATATTACAGTCAAACACAGAGCGAAGCGGCGGCGTGCTGCCAGCGCGGCACGCGCATTGGCGCCTACAAACCTAACAGGGATACTTCACGCATTGCGCAATGCGTGAAGTATCCCTGTTAGGTTTGTAGGCGCCAATGCGCGTGTCGCGTTACTCGCGTTGGTCGCCCTCGCCCGCCGCAGCGCGCGGCGGGCCACGGAGCTTCTAGCAACTATTTCGCAACAGAGTTGTTGCACAGTGTCATACGGAATTGAAGGCGCTCCAACGTATCAAGAATGACAGGCATCCTTTAAGAGTGCGGAGCTTTCCACGCAAAATAAATCAAGATACTACGGCTTGAATAGAGAGCAGTAGTCCAAAAACTCACCAAGTCCTAGCATCCGTATTTAATAAGGTTTCGCATAATTTTTGAATTTCAGTAGAGAAAAAAGTGGCTCGATTTAGGTAGAAACATTCTCGAGTATGCCGTCAAGAAGATTTCATTTTGAATCAAGAATAAAGTCGCTGAGTGAATTAGAGTTAAATTAATTCAGTGGCTTGCTATTCATGGGATGAGCGAATACAATGGAGATGCATGTGTGAGGAATTTGCGATTTGACTGTTGATTCTTGTGTAAAAGTTCGCGAGAAACACGATAATGCCACTGGTTTTCTCTGAAATGAACTCTTAAGCTCAAAAAAAGCTCTCAAGTCGTGGCCAAAATGGAGGCGATATCCCTATCCTGAGAGTCCACCTCTACATCAAAACAAACTCTCCATGCATAGAAACTCTCCATGAATGGGAGCAAATACATTGACAGGGCTGTTTCGATGTAGAGATGGACTCTCAGGATAGCGTGGGATATTCCCTCCATTTTGGCCTCAACTTGAGAGCTTCTTTTGAGCTTGGGAGTTGATCTCAGAGAAAACCAGTGGCACCATCGTGTTGCTCGCAAACTTTTACATAAGAACCAGCAGTCAAATCGCAAATTCCTCACAAATGCAACATCTCCATTATTGCGACTCCTGAGGACCCACTTTTGCCTAGCCTCCCAATTGAAGGAGAATTAGGAGTGTGCGCCTCCAACGACTGCGTAACGTTCCAGTGCCTTGTAATAAACCAAACTCTTTCGCCGACTGTTTTCTTCGCTCCATTTTTAGTCATATCCACGCTAATTGTAAGTATTTCTTACTTTTTAATTCGGGAGAAATCCCATGTTTTTGAGCGTTTGGTCAAAGTCCAAGAAATGCGCGTTTTTCGTCGATCGCCAAGTCCAGCGGACTCCGCGAGCTTCTCCGACCGGGAAATCCAAATCCTCAAGTTCTTTCCAATAAGACCAGCTTGATCTCATTCCTATCAAAGAGCTTACTGTATTGACGGTAAAAAGTTAATCCATTTAACCTCTGTGGTTTTTTCTGGATTTTGGTCGGGGTAAACAAATATGAAGATTAGTGTGGAATCCTAGCTAGGTAATTCAAGGCGTAGAATGGAATGTGTATGGTCCCCAGACTCGGCCTTGCTTACTGCGGGCCGATTATTGAAATTTATAAAAAAAAGGAGACATAGGGTGTATAGAGCGATCCTATTAGTTGAAATGGGTGGTTCTTATAGACTAAGGGGGTAAATGATGGACTAACTATTGGATCTCTCGTGAATTGTCGTTAGTTAGTCTATCACCTACGTCCTTTATCCATTGCAACTACCCGCTTCCACCAATAGGGTTCCTCCATTTTTTGCCTTCTTTTTCTATCGCTTTGTCTATCAATTTCAATAATCAGCCTGCTGAGCCGAGAAACCATAAAAAACTAGTGTTTTTTGCTGTACTCGTGGAGTTTTTTAGACCCAAAGAATTGTACAGGTACAAATCTATCTGGCATTTTTTTCTTATCAGTGCTTAATTTTTTATTTCAGGATGGAACCTTTTCTTTAGCAGATTTTGTCGACACATTTCAAGAGATAGAGGTTCAGCGCGTTATAAGGGCATATGAAAATACTGTAACAGTAGATGTCCACTGTGCTCCTGAAGGAGAGTGGAATACAAATCGATTAGGGAAAGAACAACTTGGAAAATTGTGTAAAGTTACCATAAATCCACTTGATAAGCTTTCACCCGGTAAGAATCCCACTCTCTCCTTGTATTCTATTTCATAAGGACACATTATTTTCTCAATGTTTTTACCATTCACTGCTTGCATTACTAAAAATAATTAGGTAATTTCATTAGGTATATTGGAACAACCTTTTTTTTTAAAAGTAGGGGAAAAAAATTCTAAGAACAGCAATGCACAAAGTAATGAATTTAGCTATGCTTCTACAGGAGGGGTGAGAAAGAGCTTAAGTATACCTAATTTAAATATCCTGGTGAAAATACACCCAACCTGTTACGTTTTCATAATCCATTCGATAGCAGTGTCATAGTTGAAGTATAAACCTATTATTATACACAGTTTATAAGAAGAGACTTACCATGTTTCTTCATTTCTAGTTTCAAAAAGCTGCTGTGGGTAATATAAATGGTTTTGAAATTACTTATCATACCAAAAAAGGGTATGAACTTTTGCAAAGTATGTTAGAGATGGAGTTGGATTAATTATTTTTGGATCGGGTACCACCTGGAAAAGGCTATGGGGATGGTACACGAAGGGATAGCAGCAGGACAAAATTTCATGATACCAGTTGCCCTAATAACCTTTTGGTAGGAAGACACAATTGGCGTTTGGGTGTCGCACATAGCGAAAAAGTCTGCTGTAGGTATGACCTGTATGTTTGTACGTACCAAAGTTGTCTCTCCGTAATTTTAATTGATTTAAAAAAATTTTATATTGCAGGAAGCGAAGCTGTGAAAAAATTTGTTGACTATCTCGGACAATATATTCAACCTACCTCTCTTGAGCAACTGTTGGAACCATCAGATGTGGTTGGAAATATTAGGTTCAGCCACCCAACATTGTATGTTTTTCCGGGCGGCCAAGGGGATGCCGCACTCTTTGGAATCAATGGTTTTAATATGTTGGTAGATGGAGGTTTCTCCAGAAAAGCGTGTTTCTGGAATTTCGTCCGTCATTTAGATCGCTTAGATGCAGTTCTTATGACAAGAATCAACAACAGTAATATCAATGGAATTTCCTCTCTAGTGAAGAGAAAAAGGGAAAATCCAGTTTACCCACAAATAGGACACTTCTTTTGTAATTTACAGGTAAATTCATCAAATTATTTTTACTTTACTTTTGCTAAGAAATGTTTCATAATATCAAGCAATGTTTTCTTGATCAAAAAAGCCGCGGCCAATAGTTGACTTTCATACACCAAATGATTATTTTATCGTTTTATTTTATTTTGATTTTAATTTTTTTTTTTTTAATTTTTATTTTTTGAGCCAAATGATGAAAATTGGGAAAAACACACAGACTGTGTCCTAATTTATTATGATTGAGGAGCTGGATGCAAGAAGGGCATTTCTTAAAAAACCTTATTTTGAGATACCTATAAGGGATTGAAAGTTTGAATGTTCTTCCCGGCAACAGGTTTGGCCAAATGTTGTTCAATTCTTTTTTCCATGAAAATGAAAGTCCCAAGGAAGGTACTGACATGACGGTCACAATTCTTTTTTGAGAGTAATTTTTTGGTTGAAAGAAACAATTAAAGCTACCTATATGTTGAGGGGCTTATTTACCCAGTACGTCACGACCCACTCCTACAAATTAATTCGTCTCATGATCAATGCTATCTGATTGTATTTATATTTGGTGTGATGATACTTAAGGATATGAGGGATACATAGAAAAGTTTTACGAAAAAAGGGCATTTCTTATGAAATGTTTTTTTTGTACCCAACGCCTCATTTATTACTTAAGGTTAGAAAATTTTAGTTTGCATCATTGTCATGGAAAATAATGGACTAGGGTGTGCGCAGACAAAAATTTAATGTAAATTTTGTAATCCCATAAATTTTGAATTTTATGAAGTTGTCTCCAAGGTATAAGCTTATGAGCATTCAAATACGTTTTTCATGCTCATGTCTTTTAATACTTAAGGTCATTTAAAATTTCATGAAATTCTTGTTTTACAGAATTCCTGAAAACACAGTAACTTTCTCTGCAATGAAAAATAATTTCAATTTTTCTCTTCTTGTTTTCCTAGGAACGGAAGAACATTCTGTCTCCAGATGGCGACAAAGACAAAGATAGATTGTTAATCAATTTACTGGATTTAGGTCATGATATGGTGCAAGATTTGCGGTTTCTACATTTACGTCCTCATCCCTGTTATCGAGACAACATCATCGAGCCAATCAATTTGTACCATAAAGTAGGTCACGGAAAATTAGACATGTACGTTTTAAGCCCTGCTAAAGATAGCAGGGAAGTTAGGGAATTCATATCAAAATGGAATACTGGCGATTCCAAATTGTTCAGCAAAAAGCTCAGTGATAAAGATAGTTTTCCACTTCCTAACATCGTATCAATTTGTGCTTTGCTAGTGTGGCAGCCTGCTAATCCATCCGACACCATCACTCGCATTTTGTTCCCAGGCAGCGCACCTCAACATAAAATTCTAGAGGGCTTCGAGAGAATACGGCATTTAGAATTTTTAAAGCATCCAGTTTGCTCAGCAAAATCACTGTCACCGTCAGTATCAACGGTTAATTTTGGCAGATCTAGTAGTAAGCAGAGAACATACACCAGTGTAGAAAAATCAGGGACTGAGAACATCAAAACAAAAAATGTCACAGATGTTAATGAAAAAACTGTGTCGAGATCGGTCTCTGCTGTTAGTAGTAGTCAAAAATCATCAAGCACTGTGACAAGCACCATAAAATCTAAAGTATCGAACAAGACTGAAATTAAGAAATCTGAATTAACTGAGAAAAAACAGGAGGTAGATGGTCCAGTTATTAGTGAATTGCAGAAAGATAGTGGAGAGAAAAAGGAAACTAAATCAGTGATGAAAGCAGATGAAAAGCCAAAAGCCAACATTGAAAAGAAGGAGCACAAAGCGGGAGAAGTCAAGCCCACTCAAAAGACAAAAACAGAGAGGAGTCGAATCGCTGAAAAGAAGTCAATTTCAGGAGAGAAAGAATCAAAATCACCTCCTGAGTCACCCAGGAAAACATCCGACACTAAAATCAATGGAAAAACTGATATCAATAGGCTGAGATCAATTACGAAAACTAGATCACCATCTGCAACGCCGGCCAAGAGTACGAAAGAGGAGAAGAATCGTAAAGTTGTTGAATCTAAGACAGTCACACGCACTGCCCGGTCTACCTCAAAACCGCCTGTGGCTGCAAAGAAGCAACCTGTCGCAACCAAAAAAGAGGAAGATAAGAAAGAAACTGAAAAGAAAGAGGTAGAGAAAAAGGAAGCTGATAAGAAAGAGACAGTCAGGGCCGCTCCTAGGCCGGAGCGAAAAGTAGTGGCAAAGCGAAAGAAGTCACCGGAGGTATCAAAAGAAAAACTTAAATCACCAATGAAAGCGATCAAGCCTGTGAAATCAACCAAAGTGATGAAAAAGAAACAAGAAGACAAAGAAAAATCAGTTGTTTCTGCTGCCACAGAAGCAGTTTCAACTATCGAACGTAAAGCTATTGCAAAAGCTCTTGAAGAGAAAAGTTTGAGCATACTTGCTGAGAGAGCTGAGATTCAGTCAGGGAGAATAGAAGAAACCATTATATCTATGAAAAACGAACAAAATATCAGCGCTGACGGAGAAATTGATGAGGTTCTGATTATTGAAAAAGTAGAACTGGTGCCAGATACCTCAATGAATGATCAATTAATTGTCAAAGATGGCGTGGAAATTTGTGGTACTGAAGAGAAGGATAGTATACTTGAAGACAAAATAGAGCTTCAAAAACAAGCCTTAGATCTGCTTGAAAATGAGAAAATAAAAAAGGAAACTGAAGAACATGAAATGTCTCAGAAAGATGATGGAGCATCAGACGACGTCAAAGAAGCTGAAATTGTTGGCAAAGCTGAGGAATTATTGACCGCTGACAGAGAGGACCAAATAAAAGGAGAGGTTGATGATATTATTACCTCTGCGACCGATATTGTTTCTAAAAACGAACAGGAAGCGAAAAAATCAGCTGAAGTCTCCTCTGAGGAGCAGAAAGAAGTGACATCGGGTAGTCCAGTTAAAATCTCTACTCCAGAAAAATTATCAGAAGAGAAACTGGTTGACATCAAGGATAAATCCAAAGAGAGAGAAATTGAAAGTTTGCCAGATGAAAAAGTGTCAACAACAGGCGAAAGTGGAGCAACAACTGCCCCAACAATGCCTGAAGATGAAAAGATTCCACTTGATAACATAAATGAAACGGTGGAAGAAAAACACGTTAAAGAGGAGACGAAAGAGGATACAGTTCTCTTGAAAAAAGCCGATGAGCAACCAAACTTATGTAATATCAAACCAGATAGTGAATTTATTCGACATACGACTCAATCAATTCGTGATATTGTCAAAACACCGGATGAAGTGGCAGATTTGCCCATTCACGAGGAGTTTGATTCTCAGTCTTTCGATGAGTTCGGACCAGAGCATGGTAAGCCGAAAGATTCACGCAAGTCATCGGTTGAAAAATTAATTGATTCAGATGAGAAGGACAAACAATCTGAAACTCTCTCTAAGGCAGACAAGGATCATATTGTTGCAGAAGTTGATAAAACGGCTGTTGTTGATGAGTCAGACCCAAGAAATCTGAGTGAAAAGAAAGAGAGTGCTAAAATGGAGGAAAGCGAGGGCGCAAACGTAGACTTTCAGCGCAAACTATCTTTAAAAAGCTCAGTGGTAAAAGAAGAGGGCCAATTGGAAGAAGAAAGTCCAGCAAAAATCCCACCTCAAGAAGATGAAGATGGAAATATTGATTTATCAAAGGAAAAAGGAGAAGTGCAAACAGAAGGAGGAGAAAGTATGGTAAAGACATCACTTGATGCTTCGAAGGACACGCATGAGTCAAGTGTTGAGAAGGAAGTCTCATTTGAAAAACCCATTGTTGAAGATGTTTCATATGACAAAAAGTTATCCCCTGTCAAACTGGACATTGACAGCAAGAAGAGAGAAGATAAGACACCTCTCAAAGAAAAGGTGACAGAGCAGACATCTCCAAGGACTGAACTGTTAACAGAGGGAGAGGATAATAATCTGCTTTCAGTAGAGAAACTTGAAATTCGAGAAAAGAGTGATGATGAACTGTCGGAGAAAGGTAGTCCAGAAAAACTTCCTATGAAAGCTATGAAAATCGGGGCCCATGATGAGGGAGAAATTGAAAAAGTAGATAAAACAGGAGACTGGTCACTCACTGAAACTAGCTCGGTGCTTCCGTCAATCATCGAAAAAGGTGAAGAAAAAGAATCTGAGGAGGATAAGTACGATGCTAAACAAAAAATAGAGTTGACAAAAGCAGAGAGGGAAGACAAAGATCAAGATAGTCTTGGGCAATTGGTGGAAGCAGAGCCTGAGTTTAAAACATTGCGGCCAGGGCAGGTTGAATACGTTATTGTCACTCCTGATTCAACACCAAGTACTCCTAAATCGCCAAGTAAGCTAGCCTCTTCGGAATTTAAACATGACACTGTTTGTGCGTTTGCCAAGGTTGAAAAATCAGATGACAAAACAAAGGCACAAGCTCCAGATGCAATGTTAGAACCAAAAACTGAGAAACAAGAAGCAGTTGAAGGTGAAACCTCAGACTCAATTATTCCAGTTACTGTGGAAATTCAGGCACAAGCAGACCACTCAAAGGATGAGAGCTCATCTGATAAGGAGGACTTAAAAGTTGACTCCAAGCTCTCAGACACAGCTCTTCCTGAGGATGCCAAGCTTCCGTCCTTCATCCATGCTGATGACACAAATCTGAACATTGACATTAGCTCAAGACAAGCACTTATAGATGAAGCAACTTCTGACAAGGAAGTGACAACTGCAATAGCTGAGGGTTGTGCTGCAACCCAGCTGCAAGATTCAGCTGTAGATACAAAAGGAATAAATATAGATTCTCATGAAAAAGACCATCCTGAAGCTCCAGAAAAACTAGAAATTCTTGATGACAAACCTGACAGTGACGAATTAGCAAGTTCTGTAATTGTAGATCATGAGTTATCGGAGCTTGCTCATAAATCAGCCACACCTGTTGATGTAATGAAGAAAGCAGATGATGAGACCCCATCACTTATGGCTGATAAGGCTGCGGAGCAACTTTCGCAGTCACCCAGCCCAAAAATCACGAGTCCTGCACCAGAGGAAGGCAAAGGATTAGAACAAGTTACGAAGTCCCCCAGTCCAAAAGTTGCAAGTCCCACAACTGAAACAACGGAAATGATTTCAAAGTCACCTAGTCCAAAGGCAACAAGTCCATTACCTGGTTTTGATGAAAAATTAGAACAAACTTCGAAAATATCCAGCCCTGAGAGAGTAAGTCCTGTGCCTGATGCTAGTAAAACTTTAGCAGATCTGCCGAAGTCTGCAAGTCCTATGTCAGTAAGTCCTGTACCTTCAGAGGATGGAAAATTGGAGCAAGTTTCAAAATTTTCCAGCCAAAAAGACGGAAGTCCCGCCACTGATGTCAGTAAGAAACCAGATGTGGTGTCAAAGTCCCCAAGTCCTGTACCTACTATCGATGAAAAACTGGATCAAAGTTTAAAATCACCCAGCCCAAAAGGAGTTAGTCCTGTGCCAACTATCGATGAAAAATTAGATCTAAGTTCAAAGTCGCCTAGTCCAAAAGGGGCTAGTCCTGTGCCCACCATCGATGAAAAATTGGATCAAAGTTCAAAGTCACCCAGTCCAAAAGGGGTTAGTCCTGTGCCCACTATCGATGAAAAATTAGACCAAAGTTCTAAGTCACACAGTCCGAAAGGAGTAAGTTCTGTGCCTACTATCGATGAAAAATTGGACGAAAGTTCAAAATCATCCAGTCCAAAAGGGGTTAGTCCTGTGCCCACTATTGATGAAAAATTAGATCAGAGTTCAAAGTCAACCAGTCCAAAAGGGGTTAGTCCTGTGCCCGCTATTGATGAAAAATTAGATCAAAGTTCAAAATCACCCAGTCCAAAAGGGGTCAGTCCTGTGCCCACCATTGATGAAAAATTGGACGAAAGTTCAAAACCATCCAGTCCAAAAGGGGTTAGTCCTGTGCCTACTATTGATGAAAAATTAGACCAAAGTTCAAAATCACCCAGTCCAAAAGGGGTTAGTCCTGTGCCCACTATCGATGAAAAATTAGATCAAGGCTCTAAGTCACACAGTCCAAAAGGAGTTAGTCCTGTGCCTACTATCGATGAAAAATTGGACGAAAGTTTTAAACTATCCAGTCCAAAAGGAGTTAGTCCAGTGCCTACTATCGATGAGAAATTGGACGATAGTTCAAAATCATCCAGTCCAAAAGGAGTTAGTCCTCTGCCTGAGGCCAGTAAAACACCAGAAGTTATTTCAGAGTCCCGTAGTCCTAAGGCTGCTAGTCCTGATCTGCGTCACGAAGAAAAAGAACTGAGTTCAAAATCCTCTGGTGAGCAAGTTGTTGATGATAACCAATCGCCGAGAGTGACATCTTTTGAAGATGGTAAAACTTTAGAAAAAGTTTCTACGTCATCAAGTCCAGAAGCAAAAAGTCCAGCACCAACAGATATCCACGGACCAGATCAAGTTTTGAAGTCAGCTAGTCCAAAAGTTGCAAGTCCTACGACTGATGCTGGTAAAATAACAAAATCAGAGTCATTTAGTTCAAAAACATCAAGCCCACCACCTGTTGAACATGATGCAAAATCTTCTAGTCCTAAAGCAAGAAGTCCTACACTTGATTCTTGTGAAAGACCAAAGGATCTGCTTCAGTCTTTGAGTCCAAAAGCACCAAGTCCTTTGCCTGTAGAGAATGAAACTTTTGAGCAAGTATCAAAATCTCCAATTCAAAAAATAGGAGATTATACTTTGGATGACAGTAAAGCACCAGATACAGCATCTAAGTCGTCGAGTCCAAGAGCAACTAGTCCTGAACTTACTACTGAAGAAAAATCGGAGCAAAGTCCAAAATCATCCAGTCCGAAAAAAGATAGTACTTCATTTGCTGTGGGTAAAACACCTGAAATACTTTCTGGATCTTCAAATTCGAAACCAACCAGTCCAGAACTAAAGGATGAGGATATTGTCAAAAAAGAGTCTGTCGCTCTGAAAGTTGAAAGTCCAACATTCGATGATACTAAAAATACAGAACAAATTTCTCAGCCTTCAAGTGGAAATGCGACAAGTCCTGTTCCAATAGATGACAAAGGATTACAACAGGTCTCAATGTCACCTAGCCCAAGAATTGGGAGTCCTACAGATGGTGGTGGTAAAACACCTGATGCGATTTCAAAGTCATCCAGTCCAAAGTCAGCGAGTCCCATACCTGCTCCTGAAAAAAAATCTGAAGAAAGCACTGGACCATCCAGTCCAAAAGAAAAAGATCTCCAACCTGGTTCTGCCAAAACGCTGGAGGAGGTTTCTAGGACATCAAGTCCAGCAGCAAAAAGTCCCGTACCAACTGAAGATGTGGATGTTAAGCAAGTTTCGGAGATTCTCTCTTCAAAGGCTGCAAGTCCTACAACTGATGCTGGTGTTTCGAAGTCACCCAGTCCAAAAACAACTAGTCCATTACCTGCTCTTGATACAAAATCTGAACAAAGCTCTAGACCATCGAGTCCAAAGGAAGAAAATCTTCAGCTTAGTTCTGGCAAAACACCAGAGGAGGTTTCTAAATCATCTACTCCGGGGGCAAAAAGTCCCATACCCACTGAAGATGTAGAAACCAAGCAAATTTCAGAGATTCTCTCTCCTAAAGCTGCAAGTCCTACACCTGACAATATTAAAACAGAGGAAGTGATTTCAAAATCGCCCAGCCCAAAAATCAGTAGTCCATTACCTGCTCTTGATGAAAAATTAGAGCAGAGTTCTAAGTCACCTAGTCCAAAAACATTAAGTCCTCGGATCGATTCTACTAAAGTACAAGAAGTTCTTCCTGTATCTTCAAGTCCAAAAGCAACGAGTCCTGTACCTGCAGAAGATGGAAAAATACAGCAAAGTCCAACTTCACCTCACACTAGAAGTCCAAATGTTGGAAGTCCTACTTTAGAAGCTGCTCAAAAATTGGAACCAGTTTCAAAATCACCCGGCTCAAGAGGAGCAAGTCCTTTACTTGCTGTTGATGAGAAATTAGAACTGTGTTCAAGATTATCTAGTCCAGAAAAATTAGGGGAGTTACTTGCTACAAACGATACACTAGAATCGGTTTCTAAACCTTCAAGTCCAAAAACAAAAAGTCCTGTGCCTGCTGATGATGGCGATGAAAAAACCGAGGAAATTTTAAAATCTACTAGTTCCGTAATTGATAGTGCCGCGTCTGATGCTCATAAAATATCTGAGGACATTTCCAAGTCATTCAGTTCAAATGTTATTAGTGCTACACCAACATCTGATGAAAAATTGGAACAGAAATCAGCATCGCCTATCCTGGATATGAAAAGTCCAGTGCTTGACGCCAGCGATACTAAGCTGACTTTAGAATCGACGACTCTTGAGGAGCGACAGCCTACGCCATCAACTGCTGAAGCTTCTCCTGTTGCAAGTCCTGGAAAAACTGAACACAGTCAATTGGAAAAACAATCAGAAACAAGCCTCTTAACATCAGATGAAAAAGTTAAATCTAGCATTTCTAGTGAGCAGAACTTGACTTCTGAGTTTACAAGTTGTACTTCAGGCTCGGGTGGAGTGAAATCTTCTAGTCAAACACCTTCTTTAGAAGTGACAAAATCGTCCTTCGTAGAAGAAACACATTCAACAAGTCCTAGTCATGATATAAGTCAGAAACAAATATCTCCTGTCATGGATGGAGGAGAGAGTTTGAAACCCTCGAGCCCAGTTCAAGGTACCATGATGGAAACTGCCTCGACAGTTCCGCAGGATATTCTTAAAAAAGAAGATAGTCGCAGCTCGGACTCTCCATCAGGCAAAGAATCTGAGCAGATAACAACTACTTCCCCTTCTCATGATCTTGAACCATCTAGCGAGAGAGTGAAGTCAAGTGCAAGTCATGAGCTAGAGCTGACACCAAGATCAGCAAGCCCTGCAGAAAGTTCTAAAGCAGCGAGCCCAATCCCACCGACGGATAAAAAGTCAGACATTACCTCATCTACCTCCATCTCCCCTGTTCCTAGCCCAACGTTTTCTGTTGACAAAGAAAAAGAGTCCAGTGTGAGTAGCCAAAGTTTGAAGGGTGAAGAAATGACTTCAAAAACTGCAAGCCCTGGAGAGGATCACCTATCCCCAGCACGAAGCCCTTCACCACCAGTCATCCAACTTCCAAAGGATGAAACTGCTAGCAGCCCAGCCCCAGCAAGTAACGATGCGCCTTTACCGGAATCATCCTCGGTTCCAACATTTTCTAAAGAAGGCATCAAAAGTTCCAGTCCTAATGTTGAAGCCAAAAGTTCTCCGAAATCTTCAAGTCCATCCGATAACACACCAAAGGCAGTTAGCCCTTCACTTTCAGGCACTAAAACTCCAGAAGTGACAACAACATCCCCCTCTAATTTACTGAGCTCAGTACCACCTGGTACTTTGCCGGAGACTGAAACTTTAGCTTTCAAAGAAGAGATAGCCTCAAAACTAGTCAGCTCAGTAAAAAGTGATGAAATTGTTAATACGGTTGACATTGTAACAAAAGTTACCGAATCGGTAACTGGCCTTAACATTAGTTCTGGAGGAGAAACAGGGAAAGTATCTAGTCAAATACAAGGGGTGGAGTGTGCAGAAAATCTACAACAAAAAATCCCTGGCCCCGTTTTAGAAGGGGGCATCACTGGAATAATAAATGAGTCTGAAGAATCTATCATGTCCGCTTTGGACTCAGAAAAAATAAGTTCAACAGCTGTCCATGAAGGACTTCAGAAATTATCCAGCCTTCCAGAGACCACTGAGTCAATAAAGAAAACAGTAAGCCCTTCAGCTGATGTAGATACTACCTTGAAAACTGTTTCCTCCGTCTCCGTAGTAAAAGAATCGAAAAGTGAAACTCTTGAATCTCATGCGTATTCGCCTGGCACTGTTGAAGAGCCAAAAGAAGAAAATGACAAAACAACAATGGCATCGGATGAAATTGCGAGTCAAGTGCAAAAAACTAAATGCAGCGCTACCGATTCATCGGTAAATGATGAATTAAGAAGAAGCTCACAATCTCTAGAAGATGATAAAGAGGCATCTTGGAAATTGCATAGTAAGGGGGAAGAGTCCATTACTTTAAGTAAAGAGGAGTCAACTGTTTCAACGACGACGATATCCGAAAAATCTGAGAGTGTAGGAGTTTCACTTTGCTCCAAGGTATCAGGTCTGCATTCTTCGTCAGATGAATCAGAGCAGCCAGTGGAGAAAGGATTTGATCTTCACAGCTCAACACAGTCGACGTGTGGAAGTTCACGGACAACTGGGTCAACTCCACCAGTTGAAGAGATCACAGAAGGCTTGAGTCACATTACCGCAAAAGATGAAGCGGAGTCCACCTCGACCACATCCAGTTTCACCTCATTCATAAAATCTGGCTTTGAAACAGTAGTTGGAGTATTGCATGACGCAACAAAAACTGCAAGCTCCGCCAAAAGCCTCGATGAAGATAATTCTAAAAACAAAAAAGATGAAAAGTTAGACTTAACATCGGAAGATTTTACTGCTTGCTCAAAGGATCTTACGTCCTCTCGTGATGCCTCTGTAGTTTTAGAAGAGCCGAGAGAGGGAAGTTCAGTTTTAATAGAGAGTGAAGGCACTAGATTATCCAGCTCCTTCCAAGCTAATGTGATAAGTGACTCAGCGGATTTATCCCATGGAGGGATTGAAGAATCTGTAGAAAACATTTGTGATAATAAATTAGCAAGTCCTAGTTCCAAGTCTTTCAGTCCTCAACCTGTACATACATCCCCAACATCGATTGAAAGCTCCGAAAAAATTATATCCACATTAAGTTCTCAGTCTCAAATTTTAGGTTCTACTTTTGAATCAAAACATGACGAGTCCTCTCATTCTATATCTGAACAAATACAAACAGACAGTCATATAGAGCTTGTAACTAAAAAGCAATCAACTGGGGGTAGTCCAACCTCCGATAGAAGCTCAAAATCATCCAGTCCCCTCCCTCCTTCCGATTTAAGTTCTAAACACTCTAGTCCGATACCGCCGAATGATCAGAGCCCAAAGTCTGATCAATCATTTAAAGATACTGATAAGTCTCTGAATTCATTACCAACAGACAGAACAGCCGAAATGACCCCTCGATTATCAATAACTGACTCAAAATTAGACACCAGTTCGATTCCTGCATATAGCCGAAGTTCAGCACTATCTACTTCAGCACCGTCTCCTGATGAGAGTCTAACATCAGTCAGCCCCATATCAGGCACAGACAAGAGCTCAAAGCCCATCAGTCCATTATTATCAACAGACGAAACAACAAAATCAACTGTTCATGAAGAAACTAGTTTGAAATTATTACAGGAGTCTGCAAAACAAGCTCATAAATTCAGCGGCTCAGATTTGTCAGAGAAAGAAGCAGAGTCATTGAGTGCTTCTGTAACAGTTGGTGAGAGAGATCTTCAATGCATTATCACCAAAACAGATGTGTGTCATGAATCAGCTAAATTTTCGTCTCAAACTGAGGACAAATCCAAGGGCGCTGTAGCTGAGAAAACTACTATGGTAGGTGAAGAGAGTGAGCAATTTCCAACTGACATGACACAGTCCTTCTATTCCTATTCTTCTCATGAAGATGATGAAAAACTCTCGCTGCAAAAGACTCTGACAGAGAATTTGTCTTCATTTGATGTTCAAGAAATCAAAGATCATATTTCTAAGAATGTCATTGAAGAATTGAAAATGGATCAAAGCTCAGAAATTCTTAAAAGCTTTATTACAAAATCTAAGTCCGAGTTGGGAGTTACAGAAAATGAACCGATATCAGTGAATGTTTTCGGAGAAAAGTTGAAAGCAGAAGATCAGGTGAGGAGCAAGTCTTTCGATGCATCACCATTCAGAGGCAGACCAATGCATGAAGTAGTACCTGATTGTCAACCAATTCACACAAGGTTACCTCCCGATCAGGTTAAAAAGATAGAAACTCTCATTGAGAAACATGGCTCAGGTAAAGAATCTGAAAGTTCTTGCTCTTTAACAAAAGCAGAAACCAGTGATTCAGAAACAAAAATGATTCCTCTCTCAGATGAAATGCTGAAAAAAGAAGTGGATGACGCTCAATCAAAGGAAATATGTGATACCAAATCTGTAGATATTAGGAGTAGTGATTTTAAAATAGTCGGAGGATCTACTGGTAAGGAGAAAATGTATACTAGTTATTCAACTGGTGAAGACCAGCACATTCAGGAAGAAGGTGTCTTAACAAGCGGAATAATTGCTGAGCTCCGACGTGAAGCCCACGATTTGCGGAGTAGCACACCTGGTTCTGAAGCAAGTGATCGTGACTATGAACTGGGAGACCGATCTACGCCACAGAGTGATCTCAGTAGTGGACAAATCAGCCGAGCCGGCATGCAAATGTGGCGACCCGGTGACAGTGATGAAGAATTACCCGGTTCTCCGATGAGCACTGCCTCACATGTCACCCACTCACCATCTCATTCTGAATATGAAACGGAGGGACATAAGATGTCCTCTGTCATGACAAGTTCTTTATACGGGGCACTACCGGAGACTTTCGAGCAATCATCGGATGGAAACCTCGGTGGACACGAGATGTATTCTTCTGTTTATGTTCCTAAAGAGGAAGACGAGGAGGAAGAGGAGATTGAAAATTTAGTTTATTCTTCAGAGTACAGCAAGCAGTTTCTCCTCAAGAGTGATGAAATGATTGATTTCGATAAAGCAATGAAAGAGCACAAGTCAAAACGCGGAGAAGAGCTGGGATCTTACATGACATTTTCGAGTGGTGGTCACACGGAAACCAGTTCTAGCAGACCTGAACATTTAAGTGACGATATAGGGAATGGTAATATTTCTGTTGACAACAATATCAACCGTAGCATTCCTCTTGAGCACACCGACTCTACTTTCACGACCGTGTCACAAGGAACAACAACATCTACTCACACAATAAGCCAGTCAATATATCCTGCAGAAACACATTCCCACACGACATCTAGCACATCTCACGATAATGACAAGGATCCAATCGGAGGATGGGGTAAACCGCTCGGTCTTCCACCTCCTCCAAATAATATAAATAATCAAAATAAAAGGATTCTGATCTGGAACCCTGTCGAGGAGTGGGGAAAGCCACTAGGACTCCCCTCTCCTGCACCTCCACCCGGAAAAGAAGATTCAAACGGCGACATTCAAGTGGATTTAACACCTTTGAGTAACAAAACCACACCCAAAAAAGCTGAGAAAAAAAGTTCAGACAAGAATACAGCAACTGGATCAATTGGTAAGAGACATTGCTCTTCACTTTGATATTAAATGTTTAGCATGGTTGTATGTTATCTTAGCAGCTGAAACTTTTTTAATTTTAAGACTTCTTTCAGAAAAGTCTTCTCAATTCGTTGCAGGAAAGAAAATTCAGAAATAGTACTTTTTCCACGAAAACAGTTAGTCGAGACTCGCAGATTGAATCATATGCTTTCAAATCGGTGTATATCAAAGAGAGTACAAGATCTTCAAAATCTTTCAAGAAATTTTTCAAAAATACATTAAATATACGTGGATCAATACACACAGAAAACGCAAGTGGATATTTTATGTTAAGATAGTTACAAGGAGCATCATAAAATTTCAGCTAAAAACTCATAAGATCCTTCCAGAACAAGGAAAATAAAGCACTCTCACAGAAAAGAAATTTAATTTGGTGCAAACTATGACTCTGCACTCGCATATTATTGCAATTTGCATTTATTTCGATTTCCATTGCAATCTATTCTGCTTGAAGCAAACTGATAATTGCACGCCAAAATTTTGAATTAAAATATAAATTTTTGTGCTGAAGGAGTTTTGAGGAGGCTTCGACATTTGGGAGAGAGAAAAATAACTAGGTGACTATACAAAGATGCATACCCAGTTAGAAAATTATGATACTTTTTGGTGAACCTTAATTAATAATTTTATAGAGAATTGGAACTCAAGTACTTATCTCACACCTCAAAATGTTAATTTGTACACTGTATCTTCAACAGAGATGGTTATTAATTTGTTCGATTTCAGGGAAAGAAAGCAAACGGCGGTCTGAATCTCCGATGAAACATCGATCCTGGAGCAGAGATGGACGAGGTAGCAAATTTACGCCAATATATATTGACTTGGCATATGTTCCTCATCACGGTAACTCGCTATATTCGGCAACCGAGTTCTTCAAACGAATCCGAGCTAGATATTACGTGTTCAGTGCTGTCGAGCCAAGCAAAGAAATATTTGATGCTCTTCTAGAGGCAAAGCAGAGCTGGGAGGACAAAGATTCAGGTAAGCCGTTTTGAAAGGAAAAAAATCAATGCACATTTTTACTGTCTATTAGAAGTGAGTTGGAGATGTAGCCAATGTGCATTAAAACCCAGAAAACTGGACATCTCAATACAGAAGGAAAAAGCTCATTTAAGCACAATTCCTCTCAAAGAGATACCCATTTGGTAAGACCATCCAGGAAGACAACTGCAGACAAAGCCGCTCTATAAGAGGCTATTAACACCCTTGTTTGAAGCATATTTTGGTTTGGATGTGCAATGATACCAAAATAGTGAGTGAGCGTTTGCGCATTGCAGTTGGCAATTAAATCCATGGGTTAGAAATTAGAAACCACTGTTATATAACTACAAACAGTGCACAACTGTACATGTGAGGTACATTTTTAATCTTGGAATATCTAACTACTGTGAATATTGTTTACGCTATTCACAGTTTTGCTTTGAGTCCATGAAAAGGGCACGGTAATCATAAAATTTGTAACACTAAATTTCTGATTTTTCGACCCCCCTCCCCTTTGTAACACTTTTGTGACATAGGTCCCTATTCTTTAATGAGTGAAAACAAAATGGTGTAACGCTTTCCTCAAACCCCCTTCCCCTAAAGCATTGTGCATTTTATGTAAGCTTGATCAGTTTTAAGACCATTTGCATCTTTTTCTGTACTTCTTTATGCAACAGTGACGACTCCATCGTAAAAACAAGAGCCAACAAACCTTTATGTGATAATAATTAAAGATGATTCATTTACAACTTATAAACATCCTAAACAATTTTCATTGAGGTTTTCTTCCGCAGTTGTTTCATTATTTTCTCCTTTTTCAGAAGTGACAATTATCCCCACTTATGACACGGACGCTTTGGGCTATTGGGTCTCAGAAAATGAAGAATTACTTGTTAAACATAAAATCGATTTATCTCCATCTGCTAGTCGCTGCACCATCAACCTCCAGGATCATGAAACTAGTTGCTCCGCTTACAGGCTTGAATTTTAAAGGATGTTATCAGTGATATTTTAGTTTGACTGAAAAAAGAAGCTACGCTTCATCTGGAAATAATGTGATACTGTACGTCATAACGATACGTTTGTGATTATTATAGTATTTGAGAGAGACTAATGAGACTAAAGAGAGGTATGTTAAGACTAAAAATCCATTCTAAAAGGAGAAACAAAATGAACCATTCTAATTTCTAGAATTCCATTGCTTAATTGAAGATTTTGCTCTTAACGTAGGCATATTCACTATGATTCAGAAAACTGAGAAGTAAGATGCTGAACAAAAGGCTGGTATTTCGCTTTGGCAATCACTCCGTACAAGATATCAATCGAATCATGAAAAGGAGAAGTCAATGAGGAAAGTAGTTTTGTTTCAATTCTTTCGTAAACATGTGTTGAGTACCTTGACTTCATGCTAAAGTGTGCTTGTAGAGTAGAATTATATTTTTTATTGGTTTTTTGAAAAGAGTTCTGCTTTCTCAACAAAAAAAGAAAAAAATACTCTTTTAAACATATTTGTATCGATAATTTTAATTTACTTTTTGAAGATTAGTAAACCTTTTTTTATCAGTAGAATCAGTTTTGATACGAAATGTTTGTAAAATTATACTGATGTGCGAGATCTGTACTTTACAAGATTAGGAGTTTCTCTCGCTGGGATATGAAGAGAAGAAGAATGGCTCAAGTGGAGGAAAGAATCAGACTTAGATCAAGCACACGGCAAAGTTGTGCTTGAGCTGTTGTTTGGACTACATTTTGTGACTGGGAACTACAATTTCTGGTTCATCTGTACAAAAATTTATGTGCATAGGGAAACTAATGGTACATACGTTGTTCCATTCGGGCCACGTTTCGTAATGTTTCTTCCTTGGTTGTTCCTAAACTTAGCTAGAAACTGTAGTTCCTAAATGCTAAATGCAGTCCATTTATCTGAGCTCATATTAAGACTAGAACATTTGCCGTAATCGTGCAGAGAAAATTACGAGATATCTTTTGAAATTTTTCATCCTCTGCCTCGCAAAAATAGGGCAGATAATACACAGATCTCGAGAAGAAGAGGTTATTTTTTTATTTTTTGTAGGATGAAAACCTATTGGTTGACCTATGTCGCTGAGAAAGTGATCATCATTCTTGTAAATTTCAATTAGGCTTCTTTTTAATTGAAATATTTTTCCATCAAGTTTTAACCAATCATTGTATTTCTCATCTCTTGTTCCTGCTCTCATTCATAATTCCCCATTCTCTTCCCTTTCTCGCAAATTAACAGCATAATGTCTAAAATGACTATCTCACATGTTGGTTAGCATGAAAAATAAAAATGAAAAGTCTAAAACAAGATTTCACTATCTCACCCTAGACGTCACGGTTAAGCACTCTGATGCTAAAAAATGTAGTTTGCAACACTAAAGATCACAGTTACTGACAGTCATTTGAATAAAAATATTGTTTGATTTTAGAAGAACAAAAATCCCTCCCCTATCACTAATTCGTAAGTGAAGATATCAGAGCCTAAAGCTTAAAAATTATCATCTTAAATGGAAGTATGCCAGTGGAATGGCATGCTTTGCAGTATATCGATCGATCTGCAATTTAAAGCTAGGGAGAAGGATCGATAAAGTGGGTGTTCGCAACGAATACCTTGATAACCGATTCTTTACCATAGCTTCAAATGGGGAAATATCGATAATCGATCATTCACACCTTGCCACTGAAGTTTACCAGAACCAGAGATGAAATGAAGGTTAGCCACTCAGCAGAAAATAGAAAGAACAGATTTTTTAAAAAAATTTCTGAAGATTTTAATTGATCTACTTATTCATTTGTGCTTATTTTTTTATTTATAACAACTAATTTCTGTTCAATGATAGAAATGTTCATGAACTTGACTTGGGGCACGTACCAAATATTTCAACTTGACCTAGGATGAATGAGATCAGTAACTCTCACTTCAGTAGTTCCTCTGCTTTATTAACGATACATGATAAAATGTTAACAAATTGTCACTTTCCGTCAACGATCAACAACTCATATGATAAAGATTAATTTTATGCTTGTTTATTTAAAATTTCCTGAATAATTGTGTACTTTTAGTGTTAAGTTTAGATTATTTCTTGAGCTTACAGTCATTGAATGATGTGCCGATGTTGTGTGGTTGCGGTTTATATTTTGCTTGGGATCAAAATTGTTGAGATAGAGATTTATTTTTCTAGGCGAAGATGTTAAACGGACAGGGTAAAATAAGCTTGAAGTTCTCTTCCCAAATGCACATGACACTGTGTTGATTTGATAAACTTTGAACTCTGAAACTCAAAAACTTGAACTCTGAAAGCATTCAATGCAGTGTTTCAATAAAGCAGTTTTACATGCCTCCGAGCGGGTGCCAATTTATGTCAATCTTAAAGGAGAATTAATGACTTTGAGGAAGATTCATGAAAAATTGATACTGAAAGGTAATTCTTTCCCTGAGACAATATATACAACCAAAAAATTAAGTACTCTTTGTCTATAGAAGCATCCAGCTGATTAAAATAGTCCTGATTCCTCAAAAAAAATCAAAGTACCTCCTTGTAATGGTATTCCTAAAAAAAATATAGATGGACTCATTTAAATTGACAATGCGGGTTAAAAAAACTGAGGCCCAAATTGCTCGATCATTCAAAAACTGTTGTACCAAGTGTGTTTTTTTACATTAAAATGCTTCCTGTTTTTCTGTTATTTGCTGCACATGTTTGATGATGGAATAGACAACAGCATCAAAAGCTCTAAATCTCAAATTTCAACTGAAAGTTATAGAATTTCAATTCTGTAATGACATTTCCAGTTAAACAGCAATAGAAATTCTAATTTGAGCCTCACTTGTCGAGAAAAGAAAATTATTATCTTTTCTCTCTTTCCTAATCCATCTTTCTGTTATTATTTTCCAAGCAATTTCCTTTTTCTTACTTAAATTCAATCACAGAGTGTGTTTGCCGTTTTTTATTCTTTCTTCTTTTGATCCAATCCTTCAAATCATTCACTTCAGCTCAACTTTTTTAAGGGATCTTTTGCAGCTAATACCGTTACAACCACTAGGATTCGATTTTAAGAGCATGCATGTATAGGCTCTTCCAGGGAATTAAAGTCACTCTGAATAATATGCAATTTCAGGCCAAGTTAGAATTAGTTGGGAAAATGCCACCTCAAGAGACATGGCTAGATAAATACAAGAGGACTGAAAATGGAAGATGGAGAATAATTTTTAGTACAAAGGATTTCTAGTCTCAAGAGCCATAAATGCAAAGCTGACCCTTGATCAGATGCTTCAAAAATTAGCTTGTTTGTATTTTACACACTAACATTGTGGTGTCTATGAGTTTAATCCCTTTTTTTCCCTACAAAAATATAGATCATACACTGAAAACTAACTACCTGAAGATAACACCCTTTGTCCAATTAAATGCATCCATGGAGCGCATTTTCCTTTGATTAAATTAGCTACCTTATTAAATCAGAATTGTACTTAATTTTTTTTTTACTTCTTCAAACCGTGAGATTGAAAGAGGTAAAAACCCATAAAAAAACTGGGTATTTTAAATATATGTACTGATTAGTAGCAAATTTCCTTTACAAACAAGCCTAATTTTTAGCAGCTTGAAGTGATGACAGATGATCATTCTTCTTTGACACTAGGAGGAATGTCATGATGATAGAGGAGTAACAGAAAACTCTTGCTTGTTCTGTCAAGAATTTTTATTTTCCAAATCGGGCTTTGAGATTCAATGATGCTTAATGTATCTCATTCCAAACTATAATCTTAGTCAAACCCTCAGTATTGATATTATATTAAATGCATATAGTCATGTGATATAGGTACTTTATTTCTGAGTTAAAGTTTTACATGTTCCCGATTAACTCACTCTTACAGATGATTCTGCAAATGTTACTTTTTTAATTTGTAAGAAACAGAAAATGTTTGAAGTTTGCTTCAGTTTTGTGTTGATTATTTATTATTCTATTAATGTTACCCATGTTAAGTTGATAATTTATGTATCAATACAATTATTGAGATATAAATAGCCTCCTTTTCATTTTTCAGATATTTCTGTCTCATTTCTCATAAATTTGCCTGTCATAATTTTTTATTTTGCTGGTATTGGAACAGTGCTTGCCATGTGAAAGTAACAATGCTGAGCAGAAAGTACTTATTACAGGTTTATTAGTTAAAAAAGATTAAAAACAGAACTTGTCAAAAAATAAAGAAGTTAGTTAAAAATACCTAATACATGTTACTTACAGGTTCAAAGTTATGGCATTGTTTCCCACATTAGAGGTTAAACGAGCTCACCACATGAGGATATAACAACCTTTTCTGATGTTGTTCCGGATTTAGATCCACATTTCTAGAAAAAAGAGATGGAAAGACATAGAGAGTCATAGAGTTTGCTCTAAATTCAGTCAAAGATGAATTGAATTTACTATTTTTTCAGAACAACTATCTTCTACCTGTTCTTGCATCTTCAGGTATCTAGATTTAATCACTTATGGAAAAAGCAACGAAAAAAAATAAATCATTAGATAGCATGCCAGTGAAATAAAAACTTTCAAAGTGGTTTTTTCAAGGAGAAAAAAATTAAAGTTTCACGACCATCACAACCTTACATGAGTTTTCATGAAAACTGGCAGGAAGACCAAAAAGAAAGAGAAATTCTTTTTTGACTGCAACAGAAAATCTATCATCGTGATTCTGATCACATCAGTAAGAACGGAGCAAATTACGACTTACCTCCATTTTTTTTAGAACATCCAAACCGCTAATTACATTTCCAAAAACTACATGCTTGCCATCCAACCTAAAAATTGAGAAAAAAAAATCAGAAACATAATGATTCCTATTCAGGCTAATGTTACATTGGAATAAACAAACTGAGGGAGTGAATTTAATGGATTAATTGCGTGAGACAAAGGACTGATTTCATTCACTTCTTCCATTTCTCTAGATGGATCTCCTTAATTTCTCTGCGGCAAGTATAAGAGGCTTGTTCAACATTCTCACCTACTGCCGATGATTGCAGGCTAAATCAACTAGATTAAAATAAATTACTTCGTGTGAAAAACAATTTATTACTGATTACTAGCAAATTTCATTGCAGTGATTTGCCTCAGGTTCTTGGCGTGACCAAGCTAACATGTAGCGCATTGATAAAGTAAAAAGTCTTGGCAGATTCGAAATTTTCAGCCAAGACAAGGACAGAAGCTAGCGTGTATGAGCATGAAACATCATTTTAAATCAATAAAATTGCAAAATTCAGAGAAATGAAGGAAGATTTGGTTTTGGAAAAAGTTGTTTTTGATGCAGTATCAACTTCTATATCGAACGTGACATTTTTTTAAAAGACAAATCCTGCCGTTATTTTTCTAAATTTTGCAGTCTTTTCGTTGAAGATGATTCCCTAGGCTCATAAGTTAGGGGTTATTGTCTTTATTTTGACAAAAAAGTCAGAATCTGCCATGATTTTTTATCTAATCAATGCGTTACATTGTACACCAGTTCGACCATGCTCAGAATCTGAGACGAATTCCTTTTAGATGCATAGCTCAAGAGATCGGTGAGATCGGAGGGATCAAACAAAATCCTGACAAACAACCAGGGGGAACACGGCTTTCTCCGACTGGAAAAAAAAGACTTGCTGAGCTATCAAATTTGATTTACAAGTACGATTTTGCTTAAAATTTTAGTTTTTTGCAAACCTATAATTTTAGTATAAATCCTGTTTCAAGAATGGTGCTTCTCCAACTTACCAGTCTGTCTTCGAGAGACACAAAAAAAACTGAGATCCATTTGTGTTAGGTCCAGAGTTAGCCATTGAAACAGTGCCAGCTCCTGTGTGTTTCAGAGTAAAATTCTCATCTTCAAATTTTCGACCATAAATTGATTTACCTCCTGTGCCATTGTGATTCGTAAAGTCTCCACCTTGACACATCTTTAAATAGTATGTAAGGAATCATAACTAAAATTGTAAGAACGAGAATTATTTTGTAAAGGTACACTAGATGAGTCAGTTACGAGTATCACAGATTTGTATTGTGATGCCTGACTGATGGTTACAAGTTAGAAAAAAAATAATGGGTAGAGGATTTCTTCAATAAAAGAATGTATTCATCCGTTTTAGGAAGAACAAATTTTCAGAATCTTCATAGGTACCATAAAGTATCCAATAATGCATTGTTTTTGCAAGTTTTTGTGAAGAGAGGTGAATATAGAGTGAGGGAGAAAGACTGATTTTGCAGAGTTTCTTTGTATAAAAGGCAGCACACAACCACACCGCACTGCATACTAGGCATTTCCACACTTGTCACATCCAAGCATTCACTGTTTGTAACGCTGACTTAAATTTCTCTTATTTTTCGAAAAGTTTCACTATAGAACAACCGTTCTTGCTAAACAAAAAAAACTCTGCGCACTTCTTTACCCTTTTCAGAAAGTATTTGCTTCTTAATATTTATATGCAATTTTCTTTGAACTGAGATTAACATTATGAGCCCTCTTGCCAAAGAAGCCCTCAATCATACCAAAAATTGAAAGTTATGAAGGATGTAGGGAAATGCTTAAAAAATAGACAACCTAATTTGAAATTACAAAAATTAAAAGGATACAAAGTCTGGGATGATGCGATGAAATGTACTCCCTTGATAGCCAAATCCTTTTTCATGTGTGCATAAACATCGGAAGTTTTCTGCTGTTTTGGGTGTAACATCATACCGCAACATGATGATAACTCTCCCGACTTCTTTCTTTCCTATTGATATGTCCAGGTACACCTGTGGGTTTTTGGTTTTCTTTGTTTCTTCTGTAACAGTTTTGTCCTTGAAAGAAAAAAAAAAAAGGAAAATTAATTTACAAGTGCAATTCAACAGATGCAGATCTAGCCTCTTCAACTTTACAAGCTCCCAAAATGGGTGTTAAAATTAACTGAGATGTTGTAGTATAAGATAATTTCATTCATTGTCAAACGTATGTTCCAACCCTACACTTCCTTGAAAGGAAATGAAGATAAAAAAAGCTCATTGGAAGGTTGAACAAATTTAAAATTTTGAATTTTGACTTGGCTAAGCATGCACACTAAGTATACAAAATTCTATCAAATTCTAAGGGCGTCATAATTTCAAAGTGGCACCATGCATAGAATGACCCAAAAATCTTAAAAAGCGAAAATCAAGATACACCCTCATATCACAGGAATGACAGTCTGTCTTTATAGGTACATCCGATGCAGTTTAAAACTAAAAAAATCTTTATGTTAGAGGGGAAAAAAACTTATTAAAGCACTTAATCTGTATGTCGTATCAATGGCTGAAGTTGCAAAATGCATGCCTTCAAATGCAGTGTTGCAAATCGCCCATCAGGTTTTATTTTTCTAGAAAAAATCTGACCAAAACACCTTTTTAAGTTTTTTTGTGAATTTTTTTTTCCTATTTTAAAATGTTCAAAGGAAATTTTAAGGAGCTATTTGGGTTGGTTTTCTTTTGAAAAATGAAACAAAATTGGTGATTTTACGACTTTGCAACAGAGATACAATATGACCTTAATTTATCGGATTTCACATGGCTGAGAAATTGATCCGTTGAATCGCAGAATTTGTTTATTAGAATAAGCTTGGAGGGATCGGAAGATTCAAATGTTAAATCATGGAATTCGTTAAATTGCGATCCGATAAATTGAGGTCTTACTATACACATTTTTCAACTTCAGCTGCCAGTTAATAAAAAGTCAGTTAATACTTCAGTTAATAAAAAGCTGCCAATATGCAGCACTGGTAAAGACCGAACCTCTGTTACTAGCAAGGTAGGTGACCATAAGGTGAAGGAACCTCGGCAAAGCAGTGAAAGCTCCAAACAGCCATTAATTTAAAATGATAATCAATTAGTCAAAAAAGCTTGGCCTTGTTGTGAAAGCCTTAGTGTTATTTAGCATATTGTGAAATTAAATCAAATCAAAAGCCGAATGGAAATAAACTTTACCTTGACTGTTTCCTCTCCTGATTTGTTACCATTTTCTAAAGTTGCCCCTGCATGTTGCTGAAGCCAAGTATCTTCTGACCAAACTGCTCTTGTTGAACCCTCTTTTATTTTTTGTGGTTTCGCAAAATTTACTCGGATAGTTTGCCCAAAAAGCTCTGAGTCATTCTGTAAGCAACGTTTTTATTCAGTTAGAGATGGTAAGTACATATTCACAGTGACAGACAGATTACACGTTTAATTGAATACTAGCCGTTCTGGACGTGCAAGCGCGTCCGTCACGGCCAGCTAAGGCGCTGCGCGCCCTGGACCCCCAATCACTAGCTATGCGAATGACATTTGGCTCGCTCCGCAAGCCATTTTTCTCAGTGATCGGACATTTGATCACTAAGAAGTATACATTTTGGAGACTCTGGAGGCAAAAATGATTTCGTCACAGAACCTCTTTGCCGGAGCGTGCCATCATTTGCACATGAATAGATGTGTGGAGATGAAGCGATGATGGGGATGGATCATTTCTTCAAAAATGCATTTGACTGGGATGTCATCCCATTGGGTGGCAGGAAAAGACAATCCATGGATCTCCTTCCGCGATTTGACTTGCTGAAGTAGCAAAAGTTCATCTTTACCTCTTAAGACGATTATCGGTGGCATAGGGGTCTAAAAACTGCTCAACAATAGTATAGTTCGAGTTCCGAATCGCAATGAGCCCACTCGTGTTTTTTTCTTATTCTTTCATCGCATATAAATTTCTCTGATGTTTTTGTTTTATTCTCTCTGATTGCATATTAGTAATCATATCCTCATTTCATTTCCTTTCCCTCTCTGTAGCACCTGTGTCCATTTACAATTATTATTTTAAAATAGCTTTCCCCTAGTATACAATTGATGCTTCAAATGGAATCAATTGTTTCAATGACATTTCCGGCTAAACCATGGGTTTTCCTAGGAAAGCAGCCTCTCGTCCCTCCCGAACTCTATTGTTGCCAGATAAATTGCTTTTTTAGCACTTTTCCCAATTCAAATCCATGTAAAATATTCACATTCATTGCACAATCTGGCAACCTCTCGAGTGAAATAGAAAAAGGTAGAATCGCTGAAAGTCTGAATCCTTCAAAGTTTATATTAATGATTGCATATCACTTGCTTGAAATATTTGCAGATTGAAAGGAGGATGTAATAAGAAAGATAATTAAAGCTTAGCGAGTTATATTCTCTGACAGAGCTTTTTCCTGCACACCGTTTATCACATTGTGTTAAATATTATCAGAAAAATACTGAAGTGATGGGATAGAAATGTTTGCCTCATATTAATAGAGTAACAAGATCTTGATCTTGTCAAACATTAGATGTAAAAACGAGAGCTTCAGTAGCTAATTATACTTTCCAGAAAATATAAATGTCAACTTTAAAACAGTGCACTTCTGACTTTAATATTGTAAAATTTGGAAGCTCTGCAATTGGATTCTCAAACTTACTTAGCCTTTCTTGCTTGATTGTTTTGGCATGCGAAATGTAGTTGCAAAAATTTAGTCTCTGATGTTAGCAACTTGACTGGGAGTGGCTGCTAATACTCAAATAAGTGAATAGTTTAACCCGCTTACCATATTATCAATAGCTGCTGCAGCATCGTCTGAGAACTCAAACTCGATGAATGCAAAACCTCTATGTTTTTCTGTTTCATAATCTAATGGGAGCTGGATGTCAACAACATCACCAAATGGAATGAATGCTGCACTTAGAACTTTTTCATCAACCTCCTCCGCCAATCCACCTAAATAAAAATGAAAGAGAAATTTTCATTGAAACAGGTATAGAATGTGTTTTGGAAAAAAATCTGTGCATTGAATAGTAGGTGTTTAAAATTAAAATTGAAGCATTACACATGAAATATTACCAATATCAGAATCCTAAACACTAAAAATTGTTTGATTATTATAAAACTGCGCTGAAAGCAAAATAGTGAAATTCTGCTTGATCAAGAAGGCAGAGAAAGAGCCAAAATCAAGACCCAATTATACTGACCAACTTGTGAATTTTTCTCAGCAAAAAGACGATTATCTGAGTTTTTTCTGCTGCTATTATCCTGACTATCTTTCGGTCTTTAAAAATCAATGACTTAACTTGATAATCACAAATCTTGGTATGCAGCACTACAGACTTCACACTACTATATACATGGCTAAAATGCAAGACGACATATCTCCATTTGCGACATCGCAGTCTTTCAGTCATACTTACTTCTTCCTTCGAAAACTAGTCAACAGAATTTCTTGAAAACTTTCTTAATTTTAATGCTCTGTTAGTAGAAGAGTCTGTGTAAATTTCAAGCTATTAAGGTGACCTAATCTTCTTTGAAAAAATAAATTAGGAGCAGAGCTTTTGAAACACGGCTATGGAGATTCGTAATGTCGCACTTTCGCAAACGATTTTGGCACTTAATTTGATGACTAGGCAGGGTAGATTTTAGAAAATTCTCTTTAAATTTCTTCTCTGTTTTAAGAATTTTTTATAAAAAAGTCCTCTAACTTTTCAAAACCTTACCAGGTAGTCTTCATGCAGGGAGTCTTCTTGAATCAACACCCTGACTGAACTTGAAAAGGGAAAAGCTGAAAATCCTCTAGAACTTAAGAGTTCCAAAATTGATGATACTGAGATAGTACATCAACCACTCAATCAACAGTACTACAGTATGAAATAAAGGAGGAAAATGCAGACATGATCGAAACAGATTCGTCCAGTGACGTAGAGACCGTTGAGGTACAATTCATCAGAGTATCGACAAACTGACAGGAACAGCTTTTAACGTCAAAAGAATGATCAATCGTTCAAAAAGTATAAATGTTCGTCAGACAATACTGATGCTAAGATTAACAGGGGTTCAAGCCGAGATTCAAGAGAAAAACCAAAATCTTACCAACGTAGATAGTTCTTTTTTTTGAACTGGCCATTTTCCGATGCGATTCTTAAAGTTGAGAGCACAAGGTATAATTTAAAATAAATCACTTGACTTCATTTTTTTAAAAAAAAACAAGAGCCACTTTTACGGAATGAATCAAATAAATAATTAATAAATTGAAAGTGACAGAAACAGAAATCTAGATGGATGAGTCGCGCCGGACGGCTTCCAAACGTCAACGTCAACGAGCGTACACACAGCTCGTAAACAAAACAACAACATAACCTCAAAATTCTCTCGTGCATGCCACTGCCTGACTGCTCACGTTTCACTACCGGACTTTATTTGTTGCAAAATCCAGAAATTATATCTGTTCAGTGTATTATTGAAGGCATTCATTTCTTTCGCCTTTAACTTTTGTCTTGTCTTCAAGTTATGAGGTGAGTATCTTTAATCTTGACATTTATCGTTTAACGCAGATATTTTGTTCTGACCAAGTACTCGTCCACTCATGTTTTATACCCGCTCATAATGTTGTCTCAATCACAGGCCCATCGCAAGGACAAATTACTACCCTGCGGGTCGATTATTGAACGTTTTAAGCAGCGCAACAAAACATTCAAATGCGCTTTATTGCATGGTCAAGATAGGGCAATGTCTTTTCTTGGCGTGCTGACATGGTTTCCATTATCAGACTGCAGGCAAGGATGATGTTATTTGGTGCCTCCTGTATAGGGGTTAAATTTTCTTCATTTACACTAGGGTTTTGTTGTCATGGTGCTGGGTGAGCTGCATGTTATGCATTATTCTATGATGATTCTTATCGAACCTTAGATCTCTTCAAGCTTACCCCTCTAGCACTGCCGGCAGTAATACAATGTAGGTGGCATTGCAGCGGAAGGTTTCCAATCTATCAACACAAACTCTCACACCACTAACAAATACTAGTTTCTCATATTACCAATATGAAGGAAGAAGGGAGCCACAAAAGAAATCGTGGAAAATAGAGGAATTAGACAAGATGGTTTTCGGGAGTTGCACTCTCTAATTAATTGAATTGGAGTTTTGCTAATTAATTTCCAAAGAATCAAGAAAAAATTGAGAGCATCCGGCAAGATGACAACGTGTATTTGTTGCTCAAAAGTCCAAAAAAAATATCAAATATGAACATAGAATTTTCAATTACTGTACCTAGGTTTCATTTCAGTAATTCTGTACTTATCAAGACTAATTTTGTTACAGGTCTGCCTTTGGAACTGATTTTCAAGGTGGTAGTGGAAAAAAGAAGAAAAAGAAGGATAAGGCAAAGAAAGCGGCGAAAAAAGCTAAACTGAAGCAGTTTCAAAAATCCGGAGCTGACAAATTCAAATTCAAAAAGAATAAGAATTTTATTCCTGGGAAAGCAGGTCCTGTCGCCAAACAGTCAGAATTGCGCAAGCTGTTAAAAGAAAAGAAAGAACTGGTCAATCAGTCACCCCAAGATGATTCTAATTTAAGTAAGACGCAGAGAAAGAAATTGGAAAGAATAGAAAGGCTTAAAAATAAGAAGCAAAATAAAAGTAATCCCAGTAGTTTAACAGGAAGTAAAAAGTCAAAGCCTCTTACGGTCAAAGATCAAAAACTTGCTGACAAAGAGACATTCGAGAGTGATATCATTGAGGTTTCAAACTGCAGCAGCCTCCAGTTCCAAGGAGAAAAACCTGCCACAATCGTGAAAAAGAAAAGCGGAAAGTATGATAACGAAGTTCTGGGAAGTGGTCTCATCAAACCTAATTGGCATGAAATTAAACTTGTCCCTTTCACCAAAAACTTTTTTCAACCCTTAGAAAGTTATTTAGAACGGTCTCATGACGAAATTAAATTGTACAGAAGAACTAATGAAATTACTGTTAGCCACGAAGACGCCCCCGGTCCTCTAATCAGCTTCACTGAAGCAAAATTCCCCAAACATGTCTTAAGACAACTTGAGTAAGTACCAATTTTAAGATAAAAAATGTCTCAATTAAATGTCTCAATTGTAAAGGGTTACAGTAAAAAATTAGTTGAGATTAAAAATTTTACCACCTCAAAATTCATTGTCATATCAAAATTTCCAACAAAACAATAAATTTTGAATACTCCAATTGGTAATAGTACAAAAAGCTCCAAAGTACCAGCGGTTTCTTGCACTCTAGTGTTCGTGCCTCATAGCAAAATTTTCCAACTCCCTTACAACTTTTGGAAGTGATCAGCAAATGAAAAGGAAAAAGCGAAAATGCAATCACTTGGAAAATTCTATTTGTCAGTTTTGCTCCTTTCAAGTCCTATTTTCAATTGATATGGATAAAAGAAATAGCAGTCCCTGCCATCAATGGACTTCTAGGAAGGAAAAATAGGGGGAAAATATACTATGTATTATTGAAAGATTTGCAGTACGATTTTTCTGTGCACTACTCAAATAGCAAAATCAATCCTCATTCTCGCAATAACTCTCAACAGCAATGAAGACTGTATGGGTCTTTTTTTTTAAATTACATTTAATCAAATTCAAACAGTTATTCAATTTTAAGCTTTTTAGCTCTGGTCCAATCCAATGAAGTATTTGCCGAAATTTGCGTAAATAATCAATATTTTACTAAATTTTTCAGGCAAAATGACATTGTGTCACCAACGCCAATTCAAGCTCAAGGCTGGCCAATAGCCTTAAGAGGAGATAATTTAGTCGGCATCGCACAGACTGGATCAGGAAAAACTCTTGCTGTAAGTATCTAAGCATAAATTTTAAGGAGTTTTTTCTTTTTTGATGTGCAAATTTAGATAGTCAGGGCAAAAAAAAAATCAAAATTCATTTTATCAGTTTTTATAATTCACTCAAGTATTTGTGTACTAACTCAGAGTTGTGAAAATAATCGTGTTTAAATTAAAAATTTGGAAAAACTCTCAAAGAAGGATCTTCCTGTCAGAACCAATTTTTTAGGTGCTATGTTTGCAGCTAACACCCCTTGTTTTTAAGGCGCGTCACGCCTGGTGAAGTGAGCTTATTCGCTAAGATAAAACCTATTATTTCACATTGTGCTCAGTCTTTCTATACTTATCGGTGGTTTAAATCAAATTTATTTTTATTTGTTTTCTTACTATTCTACATCTACATGTTTAATAACTCATGCAGTGCCTTACAGCGTTCTTTTCCAACTCAAATGTTTTCATTTTCAACATTGTTTCTTCATCATATGTTTAGCTTTGAGTTTTAGCTTACCTCATATTTTGTTTCAGTACCTCCTACCTGCAGCTATTCATATATCTCACCAGAAAGCCCTGGAATATGGAGAGGGACCTATTGCTCTAGTCATGGCGCCCACACGTGAGCTAGCTCAGCAAATACAACAAGTGATTAAAGAATATTTCAAAGCTACAAACTTACGCTCAGCATGCATTTATGGTGGAGCAGCTAGAGGACATCAGGTATTTTTCAGTTTTAATGATACTATTTTCATCCTTTGAGTATGTATTGTTGTCAAAAGGGAGCTTTAAAATAAAGCTAGGTACCTCTCTAAAGATTCCAAATTTTGTTTTTCAGTTAATTTTTTTAAAATAACATTTCAATTATGTATTGCTAGTGAGAGTTACTTCTCAATAAATGTATTCAAGAGGCTCTTTTCGAAAAAATGCTCAAAGGTCTTGAACCTAGAAGGACCACTGCCTATGGGAAAGTGATATTTGATTTTTAATTTTTTTAATTGCATTCAATTCCTCTCGAGATGCCGATCAAAAGTCATCATTGCGCCAACTTTCTAGGTGCACCATTTTTGCACAAAGTCTCAATCTTTCGGCAACAAAGAGTCAGAAAGATTCCTCATTTCAGCTTTCGAGTGAACGGTCGACTGTGTGTCAGCAAGGAAATCAGGGAAATTCCAGCACCAAGCGGCAGTCTCGGATTCCGCATGCCGTTTTGCTTGACCATCCAGATCAGTATCGTGAGGAGCATAAGAACAGGGAAATTGGAGAAAAACAGTGAACATCAAACGGACAAGAGTTGGAGGGAGATAGCCCCAGACTAAGCAGGTACAGATAAGAAGACAGACTCGCGCTACGTTTTTCCTTATATACATCAGGCCTGTTCTCAAATGCCTTGTTCTTTTTGGCTCTTTATCGCCGAATAATTGAAACTTTGTGCAAAAACAGTGCATCGTAGAAAGTTGGCACAATGATGACTTTTAATCAGCATCTTGAGAGGAATTGAATGCAATAAAAAAATTAAAAATTTATCGTGGTGCACTTTCCTGTAAGGAGTGTGCGGGGTCCTTTTTCTCGCAGAAAACAGAAGAAACATATGAATTGCTCCGTTTTTGCAACTCTGTTTGCCATATGTAGGTGCACTGTTGGATTTATTAGTTTAACTTGTCACCCTCACATTTGATGTTTTTGTTTTGTTTCAACAGGCAGCAGAACTAAGAAATGGAGTTGAAATTGTGATAGCAACACCAGGTCGATTACTAGACTTTTTATCGGAGAGAGTGACAAACCTTCGAAGAACAACATTTGTAGTTCTGGATGAGGCTGACAGAATGTTGGACATGGGATTTGAACCTCAAATTAGGAATGTCTTAAATCAAGTCCGGGTAAGATAAAAGTTGTAACATTTGTTGTCAAAATTGTAAGTATTTTTATTCCTCTAAATGAAAGTAAAGTAAGTCAGATGAACTTATCAAAGAAATATTTTCAGAGTGTGCTTCTCATTGCAAGTCTTCTTTTTTCATTTTCAAAAATCCCCTAACGCAGTATTCTTGTTCTTAAGGCATGTACAATAACACCTCAATTATCTGCTCATCATTTATCAGGTAAAAAATGGTTTTCAAAATTTTTTTTGTTTCCAATCCTGGTGCTAAAGTCCTATTGAAATTGACTGATTTAATTGAGCTAGAAAATTTCAATACAGTAATTTTTTAATCAATATCATTCTGTCATCTCCTATTTATCTGTGCTTTAATTCCTCTCTCGTTCAAAAATTTTAAGTGATGAATTTTCTGTTTCAGCCCGATAGGCAAATCTTAATGTGGTCAGCTACCTGGCCAAGGGAAGTCGAAAGATTAGCTAAAGATTTCCTGAAGGAATACATTCAAATAAACATTGGATCAGAGGACCTCTCAGCGAACCACAACATCAAACAAATTGTCGAATTATGTGAAGAAAAGGAAAAGGTGCAAAAGTGAGTATTGACTCCCTGAAGCTACCCCTATATGCATTTCTTTGAATCAATTCTTCAAGAGTATTGGATATTGGGTTGTGAATAATATCATGTTGTTGTCGAGCATGCTGCAACTCATTTGTGCATGAGGTCAAAATCCTATTTGGAGGAGGAGGAGCGGAAAATTTCTGTAAATAATACGAAAATCTGGAATTTACTATTAATATTGGGGGTGTCATGAAAAGTAGCTTGCTGCAGTAATATCTTACAAGATGAAACAATTTAACCTACTTTTTCAAAATTCAGCTCAATTAATTAGAAAGCTGTGTCAAAAATGTTAAAAATGAAAATTAGTTTTATTATTCCTGTATTTTCTGAGGAAAAAACATTTTCTATCATCATTATTCACTAGATTCAAAGAAAAATGTATGACATTTGAGCTAAACTGAAGGTTTCTTAGAAAGTTATTACTCTCAAACCCACACTCTCCAAACAATGAGCTGGAATTAAATATTATGATCAATAGAATATTTTGACGGTTAAACTGGAGGTTAAACTAAAGGATTGCGTTTATCGGTTCGGGACGTTGCAGACTTCCTGTCACACTTTATTTTTTAAGTGGAGAAATACTCAAGGTCATTTCTTGAAATTTTCTCCAGGTAGTTTTATGAAAACTCTCCTAATTTTCCCTCTCTGTGTGAAGAATAATTTATGATTATTTCAAGCAGTAGCGTTAGCCTGTTCTTTATTGATAAAATAAAATGGAAACGGATGTTTTGAAACTCTGCAAATAATGTACACTTTCCTGCAATTTCACCGTTAATTTGTATACAAATTGAAAAAATACCACAAGGCTCCATCAAGTGATGAACTCACAAAGAAAATATAAAGAAACACTATTTCTGTCTTGGAACTCTAATGTTCTTCCTTGTAACCCAATATACCCTAATTACAAGTAAAATATAAATTCCAGGAGGATTGAAAGGTTTTTGAAACTCTGTCTTGATCCACTGTCATTCCTTATGATGTTATCACCTCTTTTTTTTTCATAAAACAATCGAAATTTTTATAAATAGTAAAAGCTGTATTGAAACTTTTGAATATTTTTTAAAAAACTCACGCTTTCACTAAATGGTTATTTCTCGTATTTCTCTATTCATTTTTTTTTAATAGCTCTCTTTATCCCTTGTATTACAGGCTAATGGAGCTTTTAAAGGAGATAAGTCTAGAATTAGAAACAAAAACAATAATTTTTGTTGAAACGAAGCGGAAGGTGGACGAAATTGAAAAGGCCATTTGTCGTCGTGGGTACGATTTATTCTTTAAATATTTTTCTCTTTCAATGTTTCAAGAGAAGAGACATTTACACTAAGATCTCAAATTCATTTGAAAATTAATGACATAATGCATGTACGTAGTATTTATGGGAAATGACAATTTGTCTTAACATGTCTGATTCATCAAGTACATATTATACATATTGAACAAGACTGATGTAAACTTTTGGTAGAGTTGAAAAGAAGAGTTGATTCTGAAGTAAAAGTGGATCTGCGGTGCTAGTCACAGAATCAGGTCTTGATGGTTCAAGCTCTTAGGGTAGAAAAAATTAATCATAAAATGTTCTGCTATGCCTGGAGCATTTTGAACATTAAAAAATGTATAACAGCAGATCAATTTCAGATTCAGAGCCTTACGTCTTGCTTAGAATGTTTATATTTTTTTCTTTCATCCAATACCTCATTAACTCTACCCTTCTCTTTGATAGGTATAATGCTAATGGAATTCATGGCAATAAGAAGCAAGTGGAAAGAGACCGAATTCTAAGAGGTGAGTTTTGTTATTTTTAGACCAAATTCCTCTTTTCAGATTAGTTGTAAAGATCGTAAATCAAATTGATCTCAATTTCTGCTCCTATCTTTTAATTTTTATGTTTCATGTATTGATTCACTTCTGCTTGTGGCAATATTATCTTGTGTAATACAGAAGCAAAACTTAAAAAATCGTGTAAAGAGTAAAATCGGTTATTGGAGGTCCTCAGCGAGGTATTCAGCTGGAGGATAGTTGGTTCATGAGAGAGTGCAAAGAGTCACCTGAAAATTCTCTGAAAAATCCCGGATATCAAAAATATGTGCGACAACTCATGAATGTTGTTATTAAGACTCTGCCTGTTCTCATTGATTTATGAATATGTACAGAAAATCTCAAAAAAAATACCATGGTTGATTTCTTTTTAAGGAAATAAAACGTAAGCGGAGATTTTTAAACCTTCAAATAGAGATCGCCCTATATTCACTTTTGCCATGGATATCTACTTTATACCATTTTTGTAATATATGGGTTTGGAGGAAGTCTTTTAAATTTTTCAATCATCTCTTCTCTCACCCTTTCCCTCTGTGCTGTGATAACTTTAAATATTTTTTAAATTTAATTTCTCTCAATGTGTCAGAATTCAGAGAAGGAGAAGTTTCAATCCTTGTTGCCACGGACGTTGCAGCCAGAGGCTTAGGTAAGACTTTTCTGTTAATTTTTTTTTTAAATTTTAAAAGCAATGGAGAATTTGCATGCAAATTTTGTATCGCTTCATCTGGAAGTGCTTAAAGAGCTGATTTTGCAGTAATTTGTATAATTTTTTTCCGATAGGGGAAATAGTATCAAAATAGATCTAAAAGTGAGAAAATGCACCGCCTAGTGATGTCATCTGGCAGCATTTCCCATTTAAACACACGTATTTTAGCAGATTAGATCATTTTGTCATATCTTCTCCAATAATTGTTCAATGTATGAACCAAGGGTATCCTCGTGCTCAGTTCACTCTGTCGTTTCCACTTAAACACGAAATTCATTAAATATCAGACACCTGCAAATTCTCTTGACATTGAACAGAAAATTTATGAAAGCTCCTCAACTGGAAGAAAACGTATCTACTATCAATAAATCAACTTAAACTGCCTCTGAATTTGTTCGTTGTCAATTGATATTTTTTGACTCTCACTCCATGGACTAAATTTTTAGGGTCAAAATCGAAAGTTCTCCGATCGAGCCGAAACCAAGCTAGTCCGCTTGGAAATGACCCGCTGAGTCCGATTTTCTGGTCGAAAAAGCTCCGCGAGTCCGCGGTACCGACTAAAAACGCACTTTTGCAACAGGGCCAGAAACACTCGTTTTTGACCGTTTCTCGGTTCAGGGAGCTCCGGCGAGTCTTGGGACCGGGCGTGATCGATTCTACGGGTCAAACTACGTTGGATTCGACACTAATCTCGACATTTTTTCCCCCTCGGAAATGGAGAAATATCCACAGGGGTACTGAGACTGGTCAAAGAATTTGTAGGAAGTTTTTTAGTGTTCAAACACCTTTAGTGGGTATGGAATTGTAATATCTATCTTTAACTTTCTGTTCTTCTTTCCAAAGTATAATTTTATGATAGCATTGGAGCTATATCCTCAATTGAAATTCGTTGATTAATTTTTTTTTTTTATTTTCACTCTTTTTCAGATGTTGATGATATAAAGTTTGTAATCAATTTTGATTTTCCAAATGTATCCGAAGATTATGTCCATCGAATTGGAAGAACTGGACGTTCTGGTCGGACAGGCACAGCATATACATTTTTCACTCGGAAAAATGCAAAACAAGCACATGATCTAATCTTAATTTTACAAGAAGCTAATCAGGAAGTTGATCCAAAGTTAATAAGTTTAGCTAGAAGTTGTGCTTAGCTATTATTTTATCGTTTAACTTTTTTATTGACAAATCAAATAAAATAAAAACCATAACCTATTTTAATTATTTCATCTTCCTCTCTTACAGCTCTTGCATCATCATTTTGCATTGAATCATATGAAGCATCATATAAAGCATATAAGCATTAAATCATATATAAGTATAACATTGTGTGATGCACAATAGTAACTTCTAGCAACAAAATTACATATCGACGGTGAAACTACTAGATCATGTATTTCTTTCACAGTGTTTAAAAATCTCCACTCCCATTTTATTTTTTCGGCAGAAAACCAATCAGCATCATTCCTTGAACTTTTCATAGATTTTTTTTTCACACAGAGAAGAAAAATCACGGAAGTTTGTAAGAATTGTCATTGAGTAGTTTTCAATTTGAAAAATAAAATATGAAAGGAAGTCTGCAACGTCGTAAACCGAGATACATGGTCTGGTAGTTTCTTTGTTGATATCTTTAATTCGTATATTTAAATTACCAGGGGGCTCCGCTTTCTGACTGCTACATGTTTCAACCCCTAGAGGGCGCTTTGCGGACCTCTCAAGGGTTAATCTAAATAGAGTGGACTCATCTAGAGACTGTATTTTATCAAAAGCCATTTTTCTAAACTGTGAAAGGAGATGAAATGTAAAAAATTAATGACATGTCTTCAGAATAAAAAATTGAAGAAATCAATAATAATGATGCTTTAAAATGAGGAAGGAGAGAGGAATTTGCAAAGAAAAATATGCTCAGGATTATCAAGGGAGTCCATAACAGTGGTATTTCACCATGAGAAAGTAAACGATTTTATGGAGATTACTTCATGACTCACTGAAAAAAGTCTCTGGAATCAAATGAGTAAGTGAAAAAAAGTGACACAGAAGAACGGAAAAAAACCTGGCAAAACTGCCCTGCTAAGGAAAAACGCCGTATGAACCTTCAGGCGTTGTCAAATTTTCTTTCACAAAACACGAATCTCCTTTCACAAAACACGAATCTCCTGGTAAACTTATGGCCATTTTCCTCCCAATTTTACAGATGGGTAATATTGTTCGCAATTTCACCTAAAGATTCTGAAAATTCAAAGGAAAAAATATTCATAATTTTTCTCAAAAATAATCATTTTATCGGAGTAAATTTGGCAACTCTCGAATATTCATACGGCGTTCTTCCTTAGCACGGTACTAAACCACACAAACGAACATGTCGCATGAACTGGCATGAACATGGAACTGGTGATAGTCGGCAAAAAGCGGGAAAACCATGAGGGGAATTTGAAGGTGGGGAAATGCCTTTGCATGAGAAAGGGTAACGGATGGAGTAGGCTCAAAATCAGCGCNGGGGGGGGGGGGGGGGCATTAGAAAAACTGTGGGGTGTAATGTTCTGGAAGGGGTTGCGGACACGCCCAGCGTTAGGACCCGTTATGCGTTATGCGAAACTTTTCCAATCTTATGTAGAGAAGATTTGATCCAGCCACCACCCTAAGATTCTCGCTGTGAATTTATAGAACACGATTTATACAACGAGAATTATTGAAAGTAACTAAGTAACCAAGATACCTACTGATTTCTGATGCAATTCAAAATCCCTGCAAGATACCTACTAATTTCCGATGCAATTCAAAATCCCTGCCCATAAGAAAAACTCGAGTCAAACGCATACTGAACGGTTCAGCTGTTGCTCGTTGTTTACACTCAGGAACTCTGTCGTGCTAAGGAACAACGCCGTATGAGCCTTCAGACGTTGCCATATTTCCTTCAAGAAAAGCCGAATTTACTGAGAAAATTGTCAATATTATTCTTCAAAATTTTCAGTTAATTTTGTTCACGATTTACCTAATCGAAACTATCTGAAAATTCCAGGGAAAAATATGCAAAACTTTCCTCAAAAATACATGTTTCATTCGGGGAAATGTGGCAACTCTCAAATGTTCATACGACGTTTTTCTTTAGCACGGCAGAACTTGGAACTGCGTGAGACGGGAAACGCGGAAACGCGACGATTGAGGCTCTGCCGCTTAGTAGCGTACGTGCAATGCGTGAAGTATTCATGCAGCCTTGCAGGCGCTAACCTGCGTTTTGCGCCGACCACAAAGTTCAGCGCGATCATTCCAACTCACGTAGCGTTTTTCAACCTATGTTTTTGAAGTTTTTTGCACGGGCACACTCTGAAGAGGCCACTTGTCATTTACTCTGATAAAAAATTAAAAAATTACGCAAAATCCAACTAATATTATTATCTCTATTTGCAACTGGTAACGGTAGACAAAAAGTCGAAAAAGCAGGAAGAGAAATTGGGGGGTGAAGAAATACCTGTGCATGAGATTAATTAAAAGAAAACGTAACATTTATATGAAAAACGACAAACTTTATCCTCAATTTATAGGGGCTGCAACTTTTTCCTTTTCTTCTCACCACATTTTTCCTCGTTTTCGCCCGCAGGAAGTTCATAAACAAAAGATACGTAAATTTTACTCGATATTTACGTAAAAAAATTTGCTTAAAATTTTTCTTCGATTCTACGTAAAAAATCCCTAAAAAGGGTCTCCTGATACGAATATTTCAAGAGTTGTTTTACGCAATTTTCAAGCGGTTTTGAAGTAAATTTCAAGTTCTCTTAAAATTGACGAGTTTTTCACAACTTTTCTCAACAGCCACTGCTTGTAGCTTGGACCAAAAAATCAAAACACAGCGGTGGCGCTCCCCGCGCGGAAAAATATCTCACTACGCACCGCTGTAGATTCACCTAGGTGATGGCGGCTCTAACCTACATCTGCGGAACTGGTTTGTGATCATTATTATGGGCCGCAGTTTAATGCTCCGTTCCGCGGTCCGCGCCGCGCCTCAGTAGTTCTCTATTTGCTCTCGGAGGAGGCACGGACGCTCCGACGATTCTGGACTCTGTTTCGTCCTCGTTCCGTTCATCTCTCATGTTGGAACACAATTCCTGGTTTCGGCAACCGTCAAGTGACCGTTCTATTCCCGAGTGCGCCGTTTCTAATGTGATACCTAATCCGCGTCGTTGACAATCGTGCGTATTTGCGGTTTCAGTGGTATTTTCGTGCACACCGTGTGGTATAATCTCCTTTTGAAGGAGCTCAGTGCCTTCCTCGATGAATCTGTGAAGTTCGCCCGGAATAATGACGGCACTTTTTAAGGATTCCTTCGGGGTAAGTTCCCAAGTCAGAATTGTTTGTATCTCGGTTATGTATTCTGCCGTGCTGAGTATGGACGTCGTATGAGCCATCTGGAGTTGTCAAATTTCTTTCGACAAATTGCGAATTTTCAAGAAAATTTGTCAACATTGCTCCTCTGATTTTTCGGAGGATGTCGTTCGTAATTGATCTAAAAAGTCTGAAACTTCCAAGGAAAAATTTGCAGACTATCTTCGAAAATAAATATTTTCAAAGAAGAAATTTGGCAACATTTGAATACTCGTTCGGCGTTTTTATTTAGCATGGCAGGACTATGATCCTAGCAAATCCTCATTCCGCCGTGCCAAGGAAGAACACCGTATGAAAATTCGAGAGTTACCAAATTTCCTCTCAGAATATAGTAATTTTTGAAGGAAGTTATGAGTATTCCCCCTTGAAATTTTCAGGAACTTTAGGTGAAATTGAGAACAAAATTATCGGAAAAACCGGAGGAAAAATCTTTAGAAATTTTGTCCGAAAATTGGTGATTTACCGAAGGAAATTTGGCAACGCCGGAAGGTTTATATACGGCGTTCTTACTTACCACGGCAACATTGCGGTCGAGTGCCGTGGAGAGATGGGTAATCTGCGAGCGATGCGCCGCGCAGCCCCTCGCGCATTAGAAGCGCCTTCGATTTCTAGGATGCAACACGCACATCCATTGAGCACGAATAGTTGCACTGCTAACAATCTCACTCTTAAATGTCGAATCAACGACTCGTTTTGTTCTTCTGATGGTGATCCATTTTTCTTTCTTGAACAGACTGAGCTACACTTTTTAAAGTTTAAGTCGTAAGATTAGAGGAAAAATCGGTAAAATTAACAGATAGGATTCCCAAGATTCTCCTAGTAAAAATGCAATACGTGCGGGGAAATTTGGCAACATTGAAATTCAGTTACGTTCTTTCATGAAGGGAACGACGAATTTTGGTTTCTCGTCGACTAGACGACTATGGAAGCAGATTTAGACGACTTTGGAAGCAGAATTAGACGACTTTGGAAGCAGAGTTAGACGACTTTGGAAGCAGAGTTAGACGACTTTGGAAGCATTAGACGTCCATCCTCTGAATTTTGTAACGAATTTATGTATTCAAATCAAACTCGAACATTATTCACCGCCTCCTCTCCTTGTAGGTACAGGAGGCTTGGGGGTCCTTGCGCAGAAAACCGTAAAATATTAACTCCTAGAAACGGAGCAATTTCACGGCAACCAATTCCGAGCCGTGAAAACAGGGAATCTGCCGGGTGGATTTCCTCGGCGGTGTTGCGGTGAAGACGCGGGAAAATGGAACAGAAGGACGTATTTATGCTAAAAGGAACTTTGTTACACGCATTCCCTATGCACATACTTCCTTTTAGCATAAATCATCCGTTCATATAAATCGTCGCTCCTCTGACGTAAGGGCGTAACTAAATCTCCCATTGAGCCTAAGAAAGCGTAGATTTATTTGTAAAACGGGGCTCAAGTGGAAATTCAGTTACGCCTTTGCGCCGGAGGGATGACGAAATTACACCTGCGGGCTGATTATTAAAATTGATGGACAAAGTGATAGACAATGAAGACATAGGTAATATGTAGCGATCTTATCGGTCAAAATGGGTGGTTCCGATAGACTAAGGGAGGATGGACTAAGTATAGTGCCGTGCTTAGGAAGAACGCCGTATGAACATTCGAGAGTTGCTAAATTTCATTCGATAAAATGTTCATTTTTGAGGAAAACTATGAATATTTTTCCTTTAAATTTTCAAGAACTGTATGTGAAATTGCAATCAAAATCGTCTGAAAAATTGGAGAGCAAATATTCATAAGTTTACCAGGAAATTCGTGTTTTAATCAAAAGAAATTTGTCAATGCCTGGAGGTTCATACGG